ACCCCCGCGCCCCGCGGCCCCGAGCCGCCCGCCCCGCGCCAGTACGCTCCGCGCGGCCGTAGAGAGAGGGCGCGTCCGTGCCACCGAGCGCCGCCCCGCCAGCCGCCCGCCGCCCCGCGACGCGCAGTCCAGCTCGAACGGGCCGCCCGTGTGTGTGTGTACGCGTGTGCGTGTGTGTCCGTGCAGTGGTGAAAGTGATTGTGCTCAGTGCCAGTGCTAGTGATTGTGCCCCCCTTCCTGGCGATTGTGCCCCCCTCAGTGCGCAACCCCGGAGCCCCTCGGGGGTCCTACCGTGCCATGGACCGCGCCCCCCGGCGCCAGTGAATACCGCGGATGCGAACAAGTGAGTCGACGCTGTGGGACATCGCCCCGTGGAGGTACCCGTCGAGGTACCTGTCGTCGTGGCCTCCGTGCGTCCCCGAGGAGCTCCCGTGCTCCGGAGGTACGCGGTAGATCGCGCGGGGGGGTCCACGACCCCCCTGGACCCACTCCACCCCCTCCCACCCCACTACCTAACCCCCTCTTCAGTTTCGAGTTGTTGAGAATTTGTGGTAAACTTGAGAAGTTCGGACGTCGGCTCCGCGGCGTTGACCTAGGCCAGGCTCTGTGTCCCGCGGCTGCCGACGGGGCAGCTACCGTTTCGGTTTCGAGTGCGGCGACCTCTGAAGAAAGAAAAGAAAGGCATCTGGGGATATGAATCCTGTTTGACACTAGTGATGTCCTACTGCTGTAATTGAGAAATGTGTTTTCATCTTCAAATTAAGGACTGCTTGACACAAGAAAGGAGAAGTAGGGCACATGCTGCAATGAATTCAGAGCCCGTGGCCTCAGCTTGATAAAAACCTATCTCTAGATGCCCAGAACGCAAACTAACGACGTTTCGGAATGAGTCTTCATCTTCCAGGAGAAGGGGGTGTTGCCTAAGAGAGAAAAAGCATTCAGTTTAACGGCCAGCCTTTGATTTGCACCACAAATTTGCACCACTTTGCGTAGAACTGGATAGGTCTTTGGTAATACCTCGTTGTCCTAGTAAACACGGAACAATAACCATACTAATTTATAAATAATGAGTTATAAGAAAATTATTTGGCACAAAAATAATACACAATCCAAACGGGATGCCAATAATATATTTCCCAAGCCTAGAAAAGGGTATTCTCCTGTTCTTCTTTTATCCAGAAAATCGAAATGGAACTAGCAAATTTTAATTTAAAAAAACCAATCAATTACTTGCCGATTCATGTCTTTACCGCGTGCCAGGGCTACGACCCAGCAGTATGCTGACTCCATCCTTAAGGCGCCATGGCTCATAGGGTAGGCAACCCAACAACACTGCTATACGCGGAGCTCCCTGGACACATTAATTCGACAGCTGCCTTGGGTTTGTTTGTTTGTTTCTTTTAGTATTTGGTGGAAGCTACATCTGCGCATTGCAACTTAAATTGTAAAACTAGTTGGAAATATTTTGGTCGAACAATTTACACCGTTGTTGAACCAAGCCTATAAAGTCCTTGTGGGAGTTTTATTCCCGCGCCGTAAGTAAATAAGACGCGGGCCCCGCGCTGGCGGCCCCGCTCTGGCGGCCCCGCCGCGGCGCTAAGCGACTTACGCCCGAACAATGGGTACGTGTTTCCGCGGCGGGGCGGCGGGCCTCCTGGCTTAGCACACCCCGCAGAGACGCTTTGGGGAGCCTTCTCAACAAGTCTATAAAAAAAGGGACGGAAGGAAAAGCGAGAGGGACGCGCAAGACTGTGTGTGAGAGGGAGAGAGTGATAGGGGGAGACGTGGTGAAAGAAAATCAGAAAGCATACGCCCAAAGCACGTAGAGGCTAAGTGCCCTCCGGGATCTCACCGGAAGACACGCCCCTGGTGCCCTCCCTCTCTCTCTCTCTCTCCCTTTCTCTCCCCCTCTCTCTCCCTCTCGCTCTCTTCATCCATCCCTCTCACCCTACCCGTCCCTTCCACCTGATTTTTTTCCCCTCGAGCAACAGCGTGGTGGCAATCGTCACTTGCGGGCTGAGGCATTGAAAAGATGAGGAGGGTTGTGTTGCTTCTTTTTGTGATCTTTCTTTCGGAAGATTGAGCGGCTGGCGCGGGGGGGCCGGGGCGAGCTGTCACTTGCATGACATCGCGGCAAAAGGGAGGGGGCCGGGGGGAAAGCGGAAATTAGACCTCCCTGAAGGTGCGCCGATTTTTACCCATGTTTCCCGCGCGGGTGTTCTTCTCGGAAGGGGCGCCGCCGGGACGAGCAGAGCGCCGCTCTCTGCAGGAATGGATGGGGAAATAAAAATCTCTGGCCCCGTCTCACTGACTCACTCACTCAGCCGCGCGGGGTCAATCAGAGGGAGTGGCCTGGGCCGTTTGGGGGCGCGCCCTGCTCCGCCCTGCTCGGCCCTGCTGGCCCTCTGCACCGCCTCGCCGGCCCAAAGTGGCCCCCCGCTGCTGGGCTCGGGCTGCTGGCCGGGTCCAACGGGTGTCAAATCTGTCCTGCGGTCGTACGCTCGGCCCAAAGGGCCCCACGCCGCGCCCCGCTGCTCCCCGCCGCTCCCCGCCGCGCCCCGCCGCGCCCCGCCGCGCCCCGCCCCGTCACACCTAGGCAGTCCCAACCACATCCTTATCTCCGCCTGCCTCTCTCTCTCTCTCTCTATCTCCTCTGTGTGTCGTGCGCCGCACCGCCGCACCGCACCGACACCTTCACGTTATTCATCTCTGCCACAATACTGCGGTGGCAGCGCCACGGGGTGTGGCGGGGCGGGCGGGGCAGCAAGGGATGAATTTTCATGATATCACTGCGCAGACCCCGCTCGAGTGGGGTTAGGTTCCGTGCTCGAAAATGAGTGGCATTTCTTCCTCGCTGCTTCCAAGAGGGACAATCACATTTACAGAATTCTCACTCTAAAGAAGTGAGATTTTTCTGACCATAGCCAATCATAGTGAGGAACTCCTGAATGAGGAACCCCTCTGAAACTGAACGATGGCCCAAAATTTTGACTCAAGTACTTATAGTGAGGAGAAACTCGCTCTCCCGAGCGAAATACTGGCTCTAGTATTTGAGTGTTGCTGTAAGCACCGCCACATTGTCTCGTTCCAATAAAAAAACAAAAAACAATAATATCGACTACTTCTATTATAGTATTAGAACCATAGAGGGGATTACCAAGCACATTTTTTGTGTGACAAATTTATACTGGCATTTTTTTACAGTGAAAACCCCCCCTGCGTGACATGAGACGGTGCTTACACGTTGGGCGGACGCGGAAGGGGCGGTCCAGCACAGAGGGCGATTTGCGAGAACTGTTGCGGGGTGCGCTGCTGTGCCTTGGCCCCGTGCCAACTCCGCCACGCCCCGCCACGCCCCTACATGCCCCAGAGTGTCATTGCGACACGTTAGCCGCGCGTACAAAGCATGTGGCCCGAACGCTTACCCCTCCAGGCCAAACTATATATGTATTCGTGGCGTTGAATGAAAACGTTTGTTTGCATTGCGAGGGAGAGTGGGCTTGAGAGCGAGGAGTGTCACCGTGCCCTGGTCCGGCGGAGAGCGCGCCGCCCAGTGCGAAAGGGAACAGCGGGCTACTGAAAGGGCAGCTAGGGGGCAATAACTCCATTTTTGAGGTGTACACATGATTCCCGAAATACTTTATTCCTAGCGATTCCCGTCCTCTTATATATCATTCCTTAGGTTTTCTAGTGGTAGAAAACGCTTATTTCGACTAATTTGTATCAGTTCCACTAGTTTCTTGCTTAGTTTAAGCAATTTCTGTTTATTTCGATTAATTTTTGTACTGATGATTCCCAGGTAGGTGTACAGATGATTCCCAGGTAGGTGTACAGATGATTCCCAGAGTTATTGCTCCTCAGTTAGGAGTCAGTCGCGCGCCCATGCTGCTCGGCGAGGCTGTAGGTTAGAGAGCTCTCCGAAGACCCGCCCCGCCCCCGCCCCCTCTCCAGCACACTCGCCCACGTCAAGATACTTACGCCGTCGTCGTCATCTTGTGTTGCAGCTGCACGGCGATGAGCGAGAGAGCGCGCTAGTCTGCGCCGCGCCGCGCCCGCCACGCCGCCCCCACCGCAAGCCATGGTGGACGTGGTGGCCGACACGGACCCCGCGGTGGCCATCGAGGAAGCCAAGAAGAAGCGCAAGAAGCGATGCGTCGAAAACAATAACTGCGAGGACACGCCGACCAAGATGGAGGTCATGGAGGCCGCCACCAAGGTGGCCGTGGTGGCGCCCAGCCTCATGGCCCCCATGCCCACCTCCGCGGCGCGGAAGCGGGCGCACAGCCCGCGCACCAGCCCGTCCAGGAAGATGACCAAGCTGAGCTCGGAGGGCGGCGTCGACAACGAGACCCTCATCCGGGAGACGGAGGCGGCCCTCAAGAGCCTGTCGGGGAGCTGGCCCGGAGCGCGCGCGTCGTACTACGGCGCCGCGCACCACGCCGAGGCGGACGACAAGTTCGAGAACCTGTTCGACGAGAAGCACGCGGCCAAGGCGCGCTGCGCGGCGACGGCCTCGCCCGGCCTCGGCCCGGACTCCCTCAAGGACGTCATCACCCTCCGAGGCACCGGCAAACTGCCGACGCGCCCCTTCGCCAGATCGCTCATCCGCGGCTGTCGGAGAGATGACGAAGGCGACCTGGACGAGTCATCCCAGGAGCTGCACATCGACCTGGATGAGGACCACAAGGACTTCAAGAAGGTCCCCATCATGGCGCCCCCGCACCACGGCCTCACCGGCTACGGACCCTACCCTCCCAGACCGACGTACGTCGGCTTCCCCGGCGACGTCCTCAGCGCAGACGTGGGCGCCCCTGGTGTCGGACACGTCCCCGGCATGGATGACAAGGCGCCTCCGTCATCCCTGTGTCTGCTCGAACTGAACCTCAAGTTTGAGGAGGACAACCAGACACCCCCTCCGCCCGCCGCGGCGTCCCCCGACCCCTCCTCCAAGCAGTACACCATCCTGCAGCCCGCGGCCGCCGGCTCGCGCGCCGCCACCGCCATCCAGGACGTGACGCGGGAGGGGCTCCCCGCCGTGCCGCGGGCGCAGGACCTCCACCGAACCTTCGGACCCCTCTCGCCGGCCAGCATCGGACGCGGTGAGTCTGGGGCCTCAGTAGTTTAGAGACTAGGGCTGGGTCCGATCATGGAGCTGAGGGTGGGGCCAACCCAGGGGCCATGGCTGGGGGCCGAGGCTGGGGACGAGGCTGAGGCCGAGGCTGGGGCCGAGGCTGGAGCCGACGCTGGGGTCGAGGCTGGGGCCGAGGCTGGGATCGAAGCTGAAGGCGACGCTGGGGCCGAGGCTGGAGCCGAAGCTGGGACCGAGGTTGGGGCCAAGACTGGGGCCGATCCGAGGCTGGGGCCGAGGCCAGGCCGCCAGGCCAGCAGGGGCGCTGGCGCGCGCTCCCCTCACCAGCTAGAATCGAACTTAATTTCCTCCCCGGCCGTCAGAGTTGCTCCCCCCTTAATCCGCCCTGCGGTTGCCAGCGAATGAAACTCGTGAGGGACGCCACGGCTCAGGCTGCTCAGATGATCGGGCGCGAGTTTGTTTCGCACAGCCTCACAATGAAACAGTTTGGTGTCTTTTGGTTGCATTATCTTGTATTATATTATTTTATTTCTTAACGCGAGGCTAGCAACCTGGCTGGCGGCGTGCGTGATGAAGGCGTTGGAGGCGGCTCGACTCCGGTGCGGTTGTTGCAGTTGCAGTCGGTCGCAGACACGTCCCGCCCCGCATGGCTCCCCACCGAGCCGCGCCCTGCCCTGGCGCCTCTGCTTAATTGGCTGACCGGCGCCTTTGCCAAGTTGCACCCCCTAGCACAAGCCCTTCGTTCTCTCATCGTCCGTGCAAGTGAGAGGAGAATAGAGCAGAGAGAGAGAGAGAGAGGGGGGGGGGGAGAGCTTGGTGTGCGTCCTTGTGTTTTGGCCGTGTTACAACCGTGTCTATGTGGCCATTCCCAGCCATTGAATTGAGGCAGGCCGACACCCTCTCCCCCTCTCTCTCTATCTCTGTCTCTCTCTGACACACACATACACACGCACGCACACGAGAAGCAGCCGCCGACCCTCTAAATCCTGGCCGTCTGGAACAGCATCCAAATCTCGTATCCTTGTCGCCCCCAGTGCCGCCCCGGCGGGGGCGGGGCGCAGGGGCGGACAATAACACAGGGCGCTGCTCGTCGCACCTTCGGCATCCCTCCCTGAGGCGGGGCAGGGTGGGGCGGGCGGGGCGGGACCCCCAAGTGATTACAGACCCCCAATCATAAGCCCCATCCGCGCGCCCCCGAGGCCCCTGGGGGGGGGGGGGGAGAGACCCTCGCCATTGTTATGGAATCAGTTAGCATTTAGGCGAGATGATGTAGTTCATTTCACACGGCACGTACGGTGGCGGCGGCGCCTATAGTCGCGGCGCGGCGCCTCGCGGGCGGGGCGGGGCGTGCAGCTGTTATCTCTGACGTGCGCCTCGATAAACGCATTACGTCGGCACAAAGGGGAAGTCTCTTCTTTCCTCCCCGACTCTCGCGCTTTTCCTCTCGCTCACCCTCGAGTCTCGCTGGCGTCGCCGCTGTGACCTGTGACGCCCCACGGTGGCCTGCACGTTAGCGCCGGCCGGGCCCGCCGCCGGTTCGATTACGGGTAGATCTTGAACTTGAGGTAACAAGGGCAGTTATTCGAACCAAGCTCGCCCCGCTGCTGGTTCGTGTTCGTGACCTACCTCTCGCCGCCGCCCGGGGGAGGGCAACGGCCCAGCGGCACATATGATGGAAAATGTTCGCCGGAACTTCGGAAGTGCTTAAAAACTTTGGCATTTGACCCTGGTGAAAGTTTTCCCTCCCCCCTTCCCCCCTTTCCCCCTCCGCTACTTCCGCCTTTCTTGTAAGTGAGTTAGCGAAAAGCGCGTGGGCACCTCAGCACTGCCACTTAGTCTGCCGACACGGTACTCGGGGTAGGCCCGATGGCTTTTATTCTGCTGGGAAAAAGAGGATAAATTTATGAAATATCAAAATTTTATTTTTAAATTCCTTCTTTAATTCGCGTGGCATTTGTTCCAGAAGGCAGCAAATGCCCGACACCTGACTGCAACGGCCAAGGACATGCTACCGGCCTGTACCCCCATCACAGGAGGTAAGTTCACGGGGAAATGGCATAAAAATGCACACCTCTTGGTCGTGCGTTTAAATCCTTTCTTTTGCCCTGGTTCTTAACAAGCCATTCTTTTTCCAGCTTGTCAGGATGTCCAAGGAAAGACAAAGTTACACCTGAGAGTAAGCATCGCTATTAATCACTTGTTCTCTCTACTAAGCTTACCGTAGACTTTTTTTAAATTACGGATTTATTTATGTTTCTTTTCTGTACAAATCCTCTGTTTTTTAATTGTTACTTTTATTTTTGCTACTGCTTTTTTGTTATGTTATTGTTTTTCCTGAGTTCTACCTTGTTTATTCATTTACTGTTTGGTTTTTATTTTTATTTTTGCCGGGTAGAGAGCTTACTACCACACAGTGTCCTTGCTCCATATTTTCTGTAGTGTCGTTTTCGCTGTTTGTGTCCTCGCGCCTGGGCAGATCCACACCATGTCACTTTTACCTCTATGGCGCTGTCAGCAAAGATTCGCGTTCGCGAAAATATATGTCTGTTGGGAACATGGTACAGATGTTTCGCCATGTGTAACGAAATCCGCCCCCTGGAGGATCAATGACATGCAGGGTATTTCCATGGGTGTTTGCAGGGACCTATGGGGCGACCCACCCAGCAACATGAGACCAAAGAGACCAGGCCAGCCGTTTTATTTCATACTGCAAGACGTGTCAGAGAACCGACCCATTTTTTTCTTTTCTTTTTTGTTTTAGAAAAAAAAATGACAAGTTCAAAAGTACGAGAGAAAAACAGATTTTTTTGTGTCAAAAAAAGAAATATTTGAACCACAGTTGGTAAAAGTACGTCTCTCTACCCGCTTTATTAGTTTGTTTCTCTGTACGTCTATATCTTTTATTTTTTTACGTTTACCGTTTGTTTTCATCGACTGAACAAACGGCCGCCCTTGCCGTTGTAAACTATTTACGTCGGCGCCAAACTCTTTGTTTTATCCATCACCGAATCATTTCGTATGATGAAACTTTAGACGCAACGACTCTTTTCACCTTTTTGGTCTCATGGTGTTCTCCCTCCCCCTCGCAGTCCTGGCGATGCATGAGACGATCCTGAAATGTCCCACCCCCGGGTGCAGCGGGCGCGGCCACGTGACCGCCAGCCGCCACTCGCACCGCAGCCTGTCCGGGTGTCCGCTGGCCGCCGCGGCTCGGCGCAGGGCGCGGCCCAACGGCCACCGCCCGGGCCTGGCGGGCCCCCTCAGCCTCACAGGTAGGGCGGGGCACACCTCCGGGGCACACACAGCGAGCGACAACCTGCACAAGTAGAAGTAGTCAACTTTCACCGCCACTGTCAAACAATTCTTTGTTAATTGGAAATCATTAGCATTCTTTTGTATTTTTCGATTTGCAAACTCTGTTTTAAATTTACGATCAATATTCGAAAATTTACGACAGCCCATTTTTTTTTTCCGTCGGAGATTTCATAGTCGACATAGTCGCAATTTCTTATGGAAAATTTCCTCCCACTCGTGTTGTTTTCAGTGATCGCACGTGTGCCTAATGCCTTCTTTTCTTTCTTTCGCCCCGTTTTGCAGTGAGCGCCGTGGCCGGTATCCACGCGGACTTCGACCACCCCGCCTTCCCCGGCGTGCCCAGCGCCAAGCCCGCCTGGCTGTACGGCGTCAAGGACTCGACGGACTCGCCGTTCTACAAGCCCACACCCACTCACGCCCAACCTCCCCAGCAGCAACCGCAGCAACAGCCGCAGCCCCAGCCGCAGCCCCAGCCCCAGCCACCGCAGCAGCAACAGCAGCAGCCTCAAAGCCAAACCCCCTCGCAACCTCCATCTTTACCGCAAACTCCGACCCCCGCACAACCTTCTCCAACACACCCACAGCAACAAACTCAACCACAGCAGCAACAGCAGCAGCAACAACAACAACAACAACAACAACAGCAACAACAACAACAACAACAGCAACAACAACAGCAGCAACAACAGCAGCAGCAACAACAACAGCAGCAGCAGCAGCGACAAAGCCAAAGCAAGAAGGCTGAAGATATCGTAAAGGTGCTCAAGAAGGAGGTCGGCGAACTTCCGAGCACCAACCTGCTCGTCCCCAAGACAGAGGCGTCCCTCACACGGCCGGCCTCGCCGCAGCCCGCCCAGGCAGTACGCCAGCAGCAACAGCAGCAGCACCTCATGCAGCAACAGCAGGCCTCGTACGAGGCGTACCTCAGCAACCAGGACTCCAACTCGTCGTCCATGTCCAGCATGGACACGCTTCGGTCCCCCGGCTCAATGCTGCCCTCCCACTTACCGCAACCTTCGCCGCACCACCTCCCCGCCCACGCTATGCAGCAACAGCAGCAGCAACAGCAGCAACAGCAGCAGCAACAACAACAACAGCAGCAGCAGCAGCAGCAGCACTCGTACTCCATGTCGCTGGTCGACCACCAGATGGCCCAGCGCCCCCCGTACGATGTGTCCGCCGGAGAGGACATGTACCAGCGCGCTGGCAGGTTTAGCGAAGGTAAGTCCGCAGGCACATGTGACATAAAGTAATACCTGGCGGCTGATATATGAACCGCCCACGTCCGTAGTTTACGCTGTGACGCAACGCACGCCTACGCCTATCGCCTTCGGCCACGGCGCCTTACGGTCCGAGGGTAGGCAGCCCGCACGCACGCGTGCATGCGGTCTGTCTAACTACGGAGCTGCGCGGGGCGACTCGGCCGCCGGCGCAATGGATGCTCGTGCTCACGATGTGCCTCTTGTTCCAGATGACGTGCACCGCGCGTACGGCGTCCAGGCGGTGCAGCGGCCCGTCGTGTCGTACCCGGAGATCGGCCTCCGCGTCGGCCCCGTGGGTCCCTACGACAGGCCGTACGACAACAGCACGCCCCCCATCGGCCAGAGCGGCGCGACCGGCAGCGTCTCGACGCCCACCTACGACCGGTACGGCCACGAGCACCCCCGCCTGTACGGCTACCCCGAGCAGGTCGAGCCCCCCGGCACGCCCCGTCCCGCCCAGTCCCACACCCCCGCCCGCGTCGCCTCGCCGCCCCCGCCGCCCCCCGGGGGCCCCCCGGCGCCCTCCCCCCAGGGGCAGCCCCACGACCTCAGCGTGAGCAGAATGCCGCCCAGGTGAGTGTCTGGCAGGGCCGGGCCGGGCGGGCCGTTGGGTTGCCTATGCCTTTGCCACGCTCCCATTGGCACAGGCTGCTTTGCGCCGACCTTCCCCTCTGCGCTCCAAGGTCCTCCCCTCGCCCTCGCCCGCCTGCACTCAGCTTGCATAGGCAACCCAACTTGCACTGTTTCGGGGTAGCGAGTGTCCTAGCAGCTTGCAGCCATGAGGTGGCCTGCTTCGGCGCGACGCGGCCCCAGCCCGCTACAACCTCGTCTTTCTCTTGTCCCTGGCAGCGACGGCCCAAGCCCGATGTACGGCGGAGACGTGGGCCGCTACGAGCAGACGGAGCCCGTCGACTTCTCCACGGCGCCCGAGTCGGTGACTTCCGTGCCCTTCCCCGGCCAGCCCATGGCCCGCTTCCCCGCGGGCCCACCGGGCGCCCCAGGGACGGGCGCCCCGGGTCCGGCCGGCTACTCCAGGGACTCCTCACCCGACTCGTCCGCGGGCCACTTCCTCGACTACCGGGACGCCAACGGTGAGTTTGCGATCTGTCGACGCTGTCTCCCTCGGCTCTCGCAGCCCGCGGCCCGACTCAACCCGTCCCGCCTCTTCTTCCCCCCGCAGGCTACGGCGGCATGAGCCCCGTCCACGCAGCGCACGCCGCCCACGCCGCCCACGCCGCGCACGGCTACGGCCTGGCGGGCCCCAACCTGGGCGGCGACTACCCGGGCAGCGGCTACTCGTACAGCAACTACTGCGCCACCTCCGGCTACCCGGCCACCTACCCCGGCCACGTGGCGAGCTACTCGCCGCAGCCGTGCTACTCGATGCCGCCGCCGAGCCACCCCCACCCCGGCCACCCCGGGCACCCGCACTCGGCCACCCCGCTCGACAAGGACGGCATCAAGACCGAAGGGTGAGTCGCGCGCACCGTCCGCGCTGTCCTGTCTCGCCAGCCGCGGGGGGTTCACTCTCCCCGTCTTTTTCTCTGTGCGCAGGTTACCGGGCTGCCCCCGCAGCGACCGGTCTCAGATCCAGCCCCACTCGCAGGAGCTCAAGTGCCCGACGCCGGGCTGCGACGGCTCCGGACACGTCACGGGGAACTATTCCTCGCACCGAAGCCTGTCCGGCTGCCCGCGCGCCAACAAACCGAAGAGCAAACCCCGAGATGGCCAGGATTCTGAGCCTCTCAGGTGCGTCAGGCTGTAATTATTCCAGTTTGCAATTTTGCCATTCTTTGTCTTCCTGGCTGTCTAGACGTCAGTTTGGGAGAATGGTTAGCTGGGTGAGTGTTACAAAGCAGTATGTCATGTCCGCGCTAACTTGCCTTCGTCTGTTGTAGATGTCCGATCCCCGGCTGTGATGGGTCAGGACACTCGACGGGCAAATTCCTTTCGCATCGGAGGTGAGTCCCTCCCTATCCCGTGTTGTCTGAGTCAAGGGGTGCTTCACTCAAAACCGTTATTTAAATTGTTTTTACAAATAAGAAAAATCAGAGGAAATCGGTTTTGTTTAATTAGGAAAAAAGAAAGAAAACAGAGAAACCGATTTGTGCTTTAATTTATGTGAAGTACCCCTCGATCCCAGTCCCGGTGCTGCGCAGTGCTTCTTGTTGTCGTGCCTCGGGGCGCCGTGTGACCGGTCTCTGGTGTGTCCTTGCAGTGCGTCCGGCTGCCCCATCGCCAACCGGAACAAGATGCGCGTCCTGGAGAGCGGCGGCACCGTGGAGCAGCACAAGGCGGCCGTGGCCGCGCTCAAGTTCGGCACGGGGGTGGGCTCGTCCGTGTCCGACTCGTGCGACGTGAGCGGCTCCTTCCTCAGCCACCGCGGCCTCGGACCGGCCGGCGGGTCCGTCGGCGTCGGCGGCGTCGGCGGCGTCACCAGCGGCCTCCCCCTCTCGGTCAGCAGCAATCAGACCGGGTCCGGCCCCACTGCTGGAGGGAACGCCGGCGGCGGGATCGGCGGGAGCAACCTCAAGAAGGGCTTCAGCAAGTACCCGCCGACGCCGGACGACATGAGCGGGATGTACGGCAAGGGGGCAGCAGGTGAGTCCGATCGAGACCCGTCAAATTACATTCGTCAACCCTTTCTTGCTTTGATGAAATCACAGATATGGTTTGTGAAAAAATTATCTTGTTGGCATGAAATTTTAAATTTATGCCAAATTGAGAAAAGAAAAAGGTGTTTTTACTTTTTTGAGGGAATGTAAATTGTGTAATGAAGATATGTGCTGAGCTTGTGCAACAGCAGCAGCAGAGGTCTTTCCTTTTGGATATTGAAAACCTTGTAATATCGCCTGGCGTAGAAGTCTATTTCTTCCCTTGTTGGGGGTTTATTGCTATAGAGGGTTCTCATCAGTCAGCTCTTTAGCCAGTTTTCACTTCAGCACTAAATGCATAGCAAAGAGACCTTTTTATTTGCTTGAGATGCTAGTATGCTTTGATAAGTAACGTCTCATTCACAATATTCTATCAGAATATGTTCTTTACACTGCATTGCAATGTTATTTATTGGTATTCCTTATCATAGTGTGATTAGTACTTGTATGAGTAGGGTCTAAACTTGTAAATCATTAAAATTTCCCCAAATCAGGAAACAGGGCATTCACAGTTCTTGTGATAAGAATAACCTTTATCCACATGGGTAAATTTTCAAAATTTGTGTTGACTTATCTGATTATGTCTTAAGTGTCACAGTCACTTAAATTCTGATGGTGCCAATGTGATGGATTAATCCTGGAAAAGATTTTAACTGGCGCAATTTGTTTGCAGTATGGAATATTTGTTGGAAGTTGCCTATACTTCCCCAGTCCCTACACTGCAAATAAATTATGCTGGTGAGTAAAATATTTTACGGTATGTGTTTTAGATAATGGTGTGATAAAAAGTATGTCCATAGTCAACTATGGGAATTTAGTTTAGTTTGCATTCATTGACCTTGGTGCATGCCTTTGCTCAAATAATTTTTATTTATTTCTTTTTGATTTTCTTATAATCATTTTATTATTTTTTCAGAACTTTATAATGCATGTTTACAACATAGAAGTAGTGTAATCAAAAACTAGTTTTTGCACAGTTACATTTAAAGAATTCGTTCTAGCTTTGTTGATGATTTACGTTGTGTGAATGGTATGAGGATGAAAGTGGTAACTCCTTTAAAATTTTGCCAGAGTGATATTTCCTAGTCGATAAATACGATATATTTTAATTTTATTTGCCACAACGTTTCAAAGTATCTCATTGACCATCAAAATTTTGGTGCTGTTTAGATCTCTTTGTCAGCTTGTAAGTTTTTTTTCTGTGTGTTTCTGTCATTTATATTCTTTATAATGGAGCACTTAGGTCAGTGCTTGAATATTCTTTGAGTGAGTATTCAGTGGGTGTTTCCCTCGAAACGAGAGACCATGCAAAAAACCGAACAGTTGTTCCACTTTGACTCAAAGCTTCCTCGTCTCTTGTGTTTTAGGCGTGATGGAGGTGCCCTCGCTCCACGGGTTAGCTCCGGGCGTGCCAGGAGCGCCAAGTGAGGACCTCAACTCTCTGGAAGCTGAAATTTCTCAGCTTCAGAGGGAAAACGCCCGTGTGGAGTCTCAAATGTTGCGACTGCGCACCGACATCACAGCCATGGAGGCTCACCGTAGGCACGACAAGGTGGGGCTTTCTTTCAAGCATGTGAAGCCAGGTTTTTTTGAGGGCGGGACTTATTTTCTTGCTCTTGTTGCAGGAACCCCAAGTGCTGGCACCACCTCGTGCTTCAAATCTCACAGACTACTATGAAAATCTTCGGAATAATGTGATGACCCTCCTGGAACATGTACGCATTCCTGGCGGCTGTAGTAATAGTGCTGGCAATGTGCCAACCCACCACCCTTACACAGATATGAGAGTTGGGGTTGGTCCTGAACATTTTGACAGTTATCTTAGCAAATTACAGACTCTTTGTGAAGAGGGAAATGGCTCCAACAGAGCTATATATGGCTCTGTTCGCTCCACACTGCCAACGCCCATATGAAGACAGAAAGGACTGGCATTGTAAATTTCCATTGTACAGGCGGCTCTTTACCGCAAATCCACCTTGATCATGTAACAGAAAGATGAAAGTGGAAAAAATGTATACATATTTAGTTTTACAGCCTTAGACTATTTCAGCTGAATGTTATTGTAACTGTAAAGTACATATGATATTTTAGGTGTTTAGACTTAAAAATAAGTCTGTCCATTATTTGCTGTGTAAAAATAGTTTTAAGAGGCTAAAACTATTGAGAGTATGACTGGGGTATTTCCTGTGATGTCATACTGTGGTATTGATATTCAGTGACCGTATAACTTTATCCATGCATCATAAACTAGTCAGATTTGTGACGAATTTGTCAGCCAATGCAGATGCAGAATTTGTGCTGTATACCTAAGTTGTTTTCTTTTAGATAGATTATTTTAAATAGAATTGTCAATGGAATCTCTTGCTCCAATTTTTCTTTTGTTGAGCATTGCAAACCAAGTTGGAGGATAAGTGGAAGCCATATCTCAGCTAGCCACCCATGTGATCTTAGTTAATAATAGGAATGATTTTATTATAGCTTGTTATAGATTGTGATTTGTGTTGTGATATGTGTTGTTTACCACTGATTTTGCTTTACAGTTAACAATTATATGTTTACCGGTCAATTTAATAGTTCTATGACTGAGTTGTATCTTTTCTTAGTGCTAACACAGATAACTGTTACTGTTCATTGTTTTTTCCATTGTGTTTCTTCTATGTTTTGTTTGGATGGATTTGCACTATTTATTTTTAAACTGTGCTGTTGTGTTTTCCTTGTCACATTTGTGCCATACACCCACTCAGGGCATTCGTTTTCCATTAAGAACTGGGAGGAAAAGGGACTAAGGGACCATCGCCAGCCTTCCCTCTCCCATTATTCATGCACAAAGTGTAGATATCCCAATCTACAGTTGTACATGAGAGAAGGTCAGTGTTTTAATGTTTCGTTTTGAATAGTATGAGTGCCTTCCATGGATCAATTCCATTCATCAGTTTTTGTTCCACAGTTAGGACTGAGCACTCATTTTGGTGGAAACATGATCTTTTCCGTTGGTCTCACAAAACCTTATTTGCATTATTTTGTTGATTGAAACATCATGTTACTTTGCATTTTTATTTGCCATAAGATTGGGAAATCAAATATCCGTTGAGAGCTAATGTGAATGTGATATTGCTTTTTCCATCCAAAACCATCTAAAAATTCAATTAAATGCTGTCTTTTAAATGTTCTGAAAGGGTTACCAAGGAGGAATACTTGTCTTAAACTTTAAGTCTCCCAAGCTAGCACCAGTTTGATGTCAATACTTGGGAACAATAGGAAGGGTTTATAGCATAACAAAATCTCACATAGAGATATGCCACTGTGTGGATTTGTTGTTTCTTTCTTCTTTTTTTGTTGCTTCATTTTAAGAGCAAAATTTGTCAAAGGTGACTGATTAGATGCTTCGCTGCAAGCCTAATTTAATGGCCACTGCGTAAAAGTATACTGATTTAAATAAACTGTTGATATGTCCATTGTGCGATATGTGGCCTTCTTGCAAGTGCTTCAGAGTGTCAAACTACTCTTTTTTTAATTTATAGAGCTCTAATTTATGCTGTGAGGTTAAATATTTGTGATGTCATCTTATATTTATGTTTGACAAGAACTTTTTAATTGATACTTCAACTTCATTATCACATCACTTGTAAATCTGTCACAAAATAGGTTTTTGATTTTGGAAGGTAATTTTTCATTTTATATTTTTGTAACAATAATATACTCAAAAGGCTAAAGTTAGTATGCTCATTTAAAAAAGGCATACAGCATCAACATTAAACCTGGAACAGAATATTTGGGTCATGGAAATATTCTGTGATAAGAATTTAGTGAGAAGCTGGACTTTGCAGCATATTCAATATGCTGGCAGCAAAGCTCTTACAGATCCATTTTATACTTCACCTATGCTTTGCAAGACTAATTTTGAAAGACATTCCACAGCTGGTTTTGTCAGTCTCAATAGAGATTTAAGAAAGCTGCCATACGTCTCTGCCAAAGAGGTAATTTAAAATTTTAAGTAATACTTTGCCATGATCTAGGCACACTTGCGTTGGATTATGTACATATTTCCTTATATTCCTTGTTATTGTGAAGTGTGGCTGTATACCATATGATGGCTGTATAATTTTAATTTAGTCTCATTTGTGTTGTTGATCATACAGTGGGATTTCAATCTGTTCTGGAGTTACTCCTAGTCATCCACATATAAATGGGATGTATGTAAGTGCCATTTTTGTCTTTATACTTGTTTTTATTTTGCCTTTTTTAGCCCCATACTTCAGACCTATAGTAGCGCCAATGATTAATTAAGAGCATGAAAATGCGGAGGAAAGTCCCACATTCACAGGGAGTTTGATATGCCCATTACACATACATTAAATTCATTGAAAATTTTTGACCTTTCGTGCACTGTTTGCATAATGCACATTGGTGCTACTAGAGCAGGGGCAATAAATTACATCAAGAGTTCAACTTCCCTTCATTAATTAGGCTGGCCAAATTAAGCATACATGTTGAAATCCTACTGTACTTTATTTGGATGTCAAGTTCAGATGCCCAATGTTATGTGTCACTTGTTTGATCTGTTTATTTGTTAATGAAAAGATGTGCAATAAACAAATTGATTTAAAAAAATTACATATCTGCAGCCCTGTCTTTCATTATGGCTTCAAATGAAACGTCAACATCTGTGAACACCTCATTTAAAGACGAAATTTCAGTAAATATTTACTCACCACTCATTCTTCAATAAAAACATTGATGTTACCTTGTTACACTGCTGAAAACTTTCATCCATTCATTCAAATGCAGATCCATAGGTTCTGGTTCTATATATATGGTTCTACTCTTCCTATTCCTTATCGTCACAGTCCTAGTATATTTTTCATACATTGCCGGATCTATCCAGAATAGCCTCGCTGTAGGCCTCAATCCTCCTGCAACGTTGCCGAGTTGCCGTGCCGAGCCGAGAGGATAACTCGTGATTTTCGTTGTTCATTTCTTCAGTGTTAAGAACAGGAACCGGCTGCACGTTTTTTGATACCTACGGCACAATGTTTGGAGGAAATGCGCCAATTTTGGTGCTCAGTACGTATTTAACTTCCATTTCTGTGTGAAATTATTGTATTTTTCTGATTCGTTTATCGTTATTTATCTATAATTGTATTCTTCAGGCCAGAACACCAAGCGTGAGTCAGGTCGGAAAGTCCAGGTGCAGAACATCGCCGCAGGAAAGGTAAGGCATTTTCCTCCAAATCTGACATTTCCGCAACGTTGAAATCCAGATTTACCGCACTTTCTTTGCTATTTTTAAGCATGTTTCTGTTTTCACACTTGTCCTATTTAAAAGCTCACTTTACTCGCCGAAGTTTTTGACTCCCATTTGAGGTTAGGATTTCTTTGTTCACTTGGTAACCGTCCCCAGTAACTTTTGTTAACTAAATAGATGCGGGGGTGCGTCTTTCTGTTTGATCAGTTGGCCAACACCTTTTGTCCATTTATCCCTCTAAGTAGTGCTATCCATGACCACACTGTGTTTGCCAATCTCATGACATGAATCATCCCACCTCATGTAAATGACACTGTTAATGGCTTAAGCTTATTACAATCCCAACGTAAATTTTTAACTTGATTTTCTAGGCTATTGCCGACGTCATTCGAACATGCCTGGGACCCCAAGCCATGCTCAAGATGTTGATGGATCCAATGGGAGGAATTGTCATGACCAACGATGGAAATGCCATTCTCCGTGAGATCACTGTTCAACATCCTGCTGGAAAGTCTATGATTGAAATTGCGCGGACCCAAGATGAAGAGGTAAGTTCAAATTTGTACTTAATCTAATTCAACGTTTTTATGTTAATTTGTTTTCTTGCTTTGATACACTTTTGCTGTGGTCTTGGTCACACGTTTAGTGCTTTGCGGTATGATCAGTAATACTTTGTCTCTAAAGAAATGTTTCTCCTAAGAAATTCATTTTTCTAGTTAAATTGCGAAAAGCTCTGCTACCTTGATGAGTTTTGGCTAGAGTCCTGATCACCTTATGAATGACAAATCTTAGCTCCTGAGTAGCAGAGTGCAATTTGCTCTTATTCTTCTATGCCAATGCTTCAGAAATTGTTGCAATGATGAACTTTAGGCTAGAGTACTGATTTATCTTGATTGAAGTTCATTTTTAGCTCCTGAGCAATGTTTTCTGGTCCTAATGGCTAGATTATATTCCATTCTGTGTTTGCTTTTCTGATCATGCTACAGTGATGAGTCTTAGGCTAGAGTCCTGATATTCTTTATGAATGACAAATTCTCTCCTGAGTAGCATTTTGTTGGATTTAACCTGTGGCCACATGTATGGCCACAATAAGCCGTGTCTGAACCTGCCCTCCCAGGACTCAACACGTTAGCCAGAAAGCAACTCTTTAGTCATATTGCTAGGATGACTTCGTAGCGAGTCTGCTGATTTTCATTGCAGTATTATTTAACACCTGAGCAATGCTGTATTTTTAAAGCCTATTTTTTATTATTCATAAATTATTTTTTGCTTATTGGCTTTCTACCATATTATACCAGGATTTTAGAAGTAAATTAGTTATGTGTGTATTGCTATGATGAACACTAGGCTAGAGTACTGATTGTTTTTGAATGAAATTAATCTTAGCATCTGAGCAATACTACAGATATTATTCAAGCCTCGTAAATACAATTCCTAGATCTCACTAATGCCCTTTAATGTAATTTACCCCCTGCTCAATGTTGACTGCAAACCTTAAAGCCAGGAAACCCATGTTACAATGTTATGAGTGTGCGGTCTTATCGGAGTTGTACTAATGGGAATGGATTCTATATTAAGTTTGTTGTACCTAATCAATGGAGCCAATTAGATCTTGGTTCTTTTCTAGACATGCTACTATGATGAACTTTAGGCTAGAGTCCTGACTTTATGTGAATGTTAATTGTTTCCTGAGTAGCTGTCATTGTACTTAGTGTTACTGCCTTCCTCAACCTATGTAGTTTTAATTTTTCTTTATCATCTATTTTTTGTCAATTACATTTTCCCTTTTCTTTCAGGTTGGTGATGGCACTACCTCTGTTATTGTTCTGGCTGGGGAAATGCTGGGTATAGCCGAACAGTTTCTTGAACAGCAGATGCACCCAACTGTCATCATCCGCTCCTATCGCCAAGCTTTAGAGGACATGGTTCGCATTTTGGAGGATAAAGTGTGGTATGTTATATTTAGCTTTCATATATCTTCCACTAGCCATTTTAAAGAATGTTAAGTATCTAATATTAATTTATTGCAGTGTGCAGCTTGATGTCAATGACCGGTCGAAGCTTGTTGAGGTTGTGAAGTCATGTGTAGGAACCAAATTTATTGGCCGCTGGGCAGATATGGCATGCTCTATCGCTTTGGATGCGGTACAAACAGTTGCCCTAGAGGAAAATGGACGCAAAGAAATTGACATCAAGCGGTATGCAAAGGTAGAGAAGATCCCTGGTGGCAGCATGGAGGACTGCACTGTTCTTAGTGGAGTTATGGTCAACAAAGATGTAACCCATCCTAAAATGAAGAGATATATTGAGAAGCCACGCATTGTACTACTTGACTGCTCCCTCGAATACAAGAAAGGAGAAAGCCAGACCAACATTGAAATTATGAAAGAAGAAGATTTCACAAGGATTCTTCAACTGGAAGAAGAGTACATCCAGAGAATTTGTGCTGATATCATTGCTGTCAAACCAGATGTTATCTTCACTGAGAAAGGCATTTCAGATTTGGCTCAGCACTTCCTTCTCAAGGTTTGTTTTTTAATTTGAACAATAGTTACTCATTGTGCAGATTGCCCTTAAATCTTATGTTTTTTTCCTCTCCTGTACAGGCTGGAATCTCTGCTGTTAGACGAGTGCGCAAATCAGACAACAACCGTATTGCACGTGCCTGTGGTGCAACTGTTGTCAATAGGACGGATGAACTGAAGGAAGAAGATGTTGGAACCCAGGCAGGACTATTTGAAATAAAAAAGGTGAACTCTTATTTGCTCTGTTGTGGCTTTGCTTATACCTTCTATGTTCGTCTATCTTAATGCATTTGTTTCTTTTAGATGGGTGATGAGTACTTCTGTTTTGTTACTGAGTGTGTAAACCCCAAAGCATGCACCATTCTTCTTCGTGGTGCCAGTAAGGATGTTCTCAATGAGACAGAAAGAAATTTGCAAGATGCCCTTCATGTTGCACGCAACATTATGATTGAACCGCGTCTTGTAGCTGGTGGTGGTGCAGTTGAGATGGCAGTGTCACAAGTAAGTATTAGTGGAATTTGTGCTCAAGCTCTTAAAGGTTATCACTTCAGATTTATTTTACGTAGAATTTGATTACAGGCTTTGGCAGAAAAAGGTAAAACCATCCAGGGTGTGTCTCAGTGGCCTTACCGTGCTGTTGCCTCAGCACTGGAGATCATTCCCCGTACCTTAGCCCAAAACTGTGGAGCCAACACTATTCGTACCTTAACTGCTCTCAGAGCAAAGCATGCTGCAGGCAAGTTTGTTTCTACTTCTTCAGCACTTAAGTTCCTCTTAATAGTCTTCTCATATAACTGTGTGTTCTTATATCAGGTGGAAGTACATGGGGTATCAATGGTGAAACTGGAGAAATTACAGACATGAAAGAGCTTGGAATCTGGGAGCCACTGTCTGTCAAACTACAGACTTACAAAACAGCAGTTGAGGTAAGTTGCAGAGTCAATATTAATGGAACTGGTTGTTTTTTATTTTAAAAAATGTAAATGAAGTGAGGTGGAAGTGATTGTTCACATTTATTTATTTTTTCTAGACTGCCATCCTCCTCCTAAGAATTGACGATATTGTGTCTGGATCCAAGAAGAAGAAGGATGATGCTGGTGGTGCTGCTCCAATGCCATCTGAGGAAGCAATGAAAGAATGATGTGACTTAAACTTCTAGCTTTACCGTTTCCTGCTTTTTCTTTTTTTTTTATCAACGTCTAATATTTTGCTACTGTTTAAGATTGTTACTACTTAATGCATTTCAAGAATAGTGTTGCTAACAAATTTGCTAAGACGTATCATTTCACTTGTGTGCACTGCATTATTAATATTGCAAACAATGGTCTGTAATTTATTTATAACCGTATTGTTGTATGAGATGAAAACCCCAGTGTATTTATGACTGTGATTTAAGTGCATTAGTTGTTGTCATTTGTTCTCATTATTCTCATTTACAAGAAATTAAATTTTTATCTTAATAATATTCACGCTTGTCCTACAATTTCCAATGACTTCATACAACTGTGGATCATGATCAAAATGTTCAATGGGAGTATTTTTATTAAATTTAATTATGATAAATAGAAAAACTGTTTATGTTCATCTTGTTCCTTACTGTCCATTACTCAAAATTTAAGAGAAAATATAGCAGGTGTTTTTGACCTCTAGGAAAGAAACTCTTGTTGAACTTTGTAAGAGAAGGTTTACGCCATGACCGTTGGCAATCTAAGCTACAGACAGCTGCTTGCCCCCTCGAGTTTGCAGTGCCGGGCGGCCCACGGATGCTACAACGTTAGGCCGCCCCACTGCCTAGCGCGACCTGTGCTAGCGTGCGAGAAGTACGTCAGGACCTACTTTCACCGACACTGTTACACGTCGCGATGACGTTCGCGTCGCTCCCAAAGGACCCTCTGCAACGCAAGCGACACGGGGCCATTGTACCAATCAACTACTCTACCTGAATGGCTTACTTCTGGAGGTAGACCGACGTTCCAGTACAGGTCTCCAGCGCCACGTCACACGGTCCACTCTCGGTTGCCTTTTGCTGCTCAGAGTGGAGTTGTTGCCATACAGAGAGGCATGCGTTAGAGGGAGACAGAAGGACGTTTCGCAACGCTCCTGTGCAGCAGGCTCCAGCCGCTCCAGCCGGGCTCCGCAGCGCCGGGGTCCCTGCCAGTGCGGCGCCCCTCTCCTCTCAGGTCCTGCAGTCGACTGCGAGGACAGGGCGAGCCTGGACGTCTGGAGAGAATCCCAGTAAGTACGTTGCGTAAAACACTCTGGGGATCGGATCCCGTAAAAAGTACTTCCGATCAAAGATCAAACAAAATAAAAAAAGAACTCGCGATTATGCGCGACTTTGAAACGCATTCATGATTTAAAAACTTAACTATACCGGGAGAGGGGAGGTACTTTTGTTGTCTTCGAAAACGCCTGTTCGTGTGGAATTCCCTGCTTCGGTTGACCCGGCCTGGCGGGCGGGCGGACGGGTTGCCTATCTGGCTCAATGGCCCATGTAGTAGTAGCCGTGGTCAAGAGCGATAGGCAGGTTCCGCGCGAAACAGTCTTACAGCTGTAAAACGTATGGTCGGCGCGAACCTCACTCACTACAAACCACCAGACTATGGGGCCTGGCTAGGCGAAGATATCGGCGTGGCTTTATTCTTCGTTTTAGCAGATGATACCTTAAACAACTTTTGACTAAACAAGTAACTTTAAGATGTCAGCTAGCTCTTTTTTTTTTCGGGTGACATTTCTGGTTCTAGTTTGTTACGATGAAGGTAATGACGGCAATGACCGCTGCGGTGCAGACCTTGTGATGTTTTATTGCTCTGAACATTGAACACTGAACGCGGTGGCGCGGGGGTGCGTCGATGCGGACAGCCTCGACCAACGTCTCCTCTATACACGGAGCACGTGCCATGTGTTCTGCCGCTATACGCTGGATCTTGATCGCACGTCGGGGACATTCCCTATGTTCTCTCCCTCTCACGTGTCCTCCGCGACAAGCCAAGCCATGCAAGGCCTGCTATCAGCCGTGGCGTGACTGCGGTTACAGTGGAGTACCTTTCCAGTGGCGCCGCTTGACGATGTCGTGTGCTTATTTACTCGTTTATAACCGCACCTTGAGAAAGACTGCACCAATGCACCACCGATGCGATGGCGCAACCGTGCGACCCGCGCGCGCCTTTTTCAGTCGCACCGACCACCACCGCACAGCACCGCACCGCCTCCCGTCGGGGTGGGCCGTAGTATCGGCTGCCTAACTCCCGGGCGCTCCTCCTTTCGGGAGCGGGGTAGAGGTTCAGGGCCGGCTGCTGCCGTGATACGTCGCTTTGCTCTTGGACCGGGTCAAACGTTCGCTCGGTTTCAGTTGGTCGTCCGGTGCGTGCGGCTGCGGAGAATGAGCGCCATGACTGGAGAGCCCCTCGGGGCGCTGGCCCCCGCACCCTGCGCACCCCGGGTCGAGACAGTGCGCCAAACTGCACCAGCAGGTGAGGAGAGCCATCGCCACCCCCGTTTACGCGATGTCCAAGTTTCACATGTTCCCATCCAAACGTGTTGTGCCGCTCGTGTGATTGTGCGTGTGTGTGTGCAGCAGCGGAAGACCTCCCGATGCAGTGGGTGACGGGCGAGCCTCTCCAGCGGCTGCTCCGGGACTTCAGCGGCGAACGCACCGGCTACGTCAGGATATCCGACAAGGGCTACTTCTTCCCGAGCAAGTTCGCCACGGAGATGCCGCACTTCGTCAACTTCAAGGCGCGCCCCAGCGACACGTGGGTCGTGACGTACCCGCGCTCGGGCACCACGTGGACTCAGGAGATGGTGTGGCTGCTCGCCAACGACCTGGACTTCGACACGGCCCGGAGCGTTCCGCTCAACGACAGGTTCCCCTTCTTCGAGTGAGCATCACCCTTATGATTTGCGCGTTGATGGAGCTGCGACGAGTGCTTTGCCCCGCTGTTCTTAACACTCCGCTCCTCACTGCCTGCCTCGCCACCCGCCGCCGTTCAGGTTCAGCGGCTTCTTCCACGAGGCGACGACCCGCGAGTTCCTGGAGCACAACGCCGGCAGCACGGAGCGCCAGCAGGCCGTGCTGGACATGGCCACGCCCGGGTACCGCCTGCTCGCCAACGCCCCCAGCCCGCGCTTCATCAAGACCCACCTGCCCTTCACGCTGCTCCCCAGGAACCTGCTCAACTCGGGCGCCAAGGTGAGGTGTAAGGCCAAGGGGGGGGGGGGGGGGTAATAAGGGAACGCCCACCATTTCCCCATTCCACACGATTCTCTGTGGCGTAAGCACTCAAAACACCTCATTCCGCACCCACAGGTCATATACCTAGCCCGGAACCCGAAGGACGTCGCGGTGTCCTTCTTCCACATGAACAGGCTCATTCTGACGCAGGGCTACACCGGGGACTTCGAGACGTACTGGAACTATTTCCAAAACGATTTGCGTGAGTGTCCATATTGTTGTCTCATCCCTTATCGTCCTTGTCCATGTGGCCAAGTAAAACGGTGGCCCTCGCTGCAAGGGGCCACCTGCTGCACAATACAAACCCTGAAATATTAACCGTACCATACAGACGCGTGGACTCCGTACTGGTCCCATTTAGAAGAAGGCTGGCAGCGCAGAACGCATCCAAGGGTCCTCTTCATGTTTTATGAGGAAATGCGCAAGGTAAAGGTCTGCGAATGAATGACTGTGTTTGGGAAGTCGTCTCGGCAAGCAGTGAGTAAGCTTGTTGCTTTGCTGCTCAGGATACTCCTGCAGCCATCAGGAAGGTGGCACATTTTCTCGGAAAGCAGCTGAACGACGAACAAGAGGCAAGACTAGGCAATCATCTCGACATCGTGAACTTCAGGAAAAACCCCGCCGTCAATTCGGAGGCCCTATACGACCTTGGGATCATGAGGCGGGACGAGCAGGCATTTATTCGTAAAGGTACTGCGGGAAACCACTTCTTCCTTGGTACCGGATGATTAAGAGAAGACGCACGAGCACGTGGATTTGCCTACCCGCTCCGCCCGTAAGGCGCCATATAGCCCCTTGCGTAGGCAAACCCGTCCGCTCCTGCGTCTTCTCTGAATCACCCAGAACGCCCTCCCATCATTCATTTTATTTGCGCGACTCTATTTGTAAGATGTCAAATAAAACATGTATATTTTGATTGTCGCAGGCGAGGTTGGCGGCTGGAAAAATTACTTCACCCCCGAGTTGGAGGCCCAGGCGGACCAATGGATAGCAGAGAATCTTGCCAAGACGGACATGCGTTTCCCAGACTGTAAATCTGGCTGTTAACACTAGAGGTCCTTAGCACGTTCAGTGCTACGTGACCCACACCGTGGGTCCCAATAACATGGGATTGCCTACCCCCGCCGCACTCAACGTGTTAGGCTCTATTGTCTCCGTTATTTAGACATTGATATTTGTAGATCTCTTACAGCATTAGCAGTGTGCTATGGAACCCAACCATTAATCGGTTTGATGTAAAGTAAATAAAATGTCATGCAAGTTTCAGAAATTTAATCTTACTCCATACCCCACAACCCTGAAATATCGTGTGAGGCGAAGTGGTAGGAATTCCCTCTCACAGCTCCCGTTCATTTTTTGTTTACTTGTTTACTTTGATTTGTAATGAGGTCACGGAGAGTTAGCCAGTTAAATCCTGATTTTTTCTTCAAACTGCTTTCCATCCGAAAAGACCGAATGTGTCTCTCAACGTTGGTTTTCTCTTTCCTTTCCTCTCTCTTTCAATTTGCCCTTTCTTGCGGTGGTGAGTCAGTTACAATTTCTCATACTCACTGTTTTTCTGTAGCCTCACTAATGGTCCCCTCTTTTCGTACCCCGTAACGCAATGTCAATCTGCTGTATGGCTCGGCGGGGAGTTGGATGAGTCCCCCCTCCGCTCCCGCTCAGAGCTTCTTTCCATTCCAACCTTTCGGCCTTGGTGGAGCGTTGTTCCGGCCGAGAGGAGAGGTCCCGTGCACTTGTGCAGTACTTCTTAATTTTCTAAGGTAAATCTCTTCAGTTCTTGGGTTTATTGTTTGATATCGCATCTTTGATATCTACTTTAGGTGTTTGGCTGGTAAAGCGTTACTTTGGGACGGTTTGTTTCGTACTGTCGATGAATTTTGGGCGCCGCTCTGCCGCATCCACGTGGCGGGCTTCGCTTGTGCCCAAGCGCGGTTATGGCTTCCCACTCGATTAGCCGATAGCCGTTAGAGCGTCTTTACCTTGTGTAGTATTTTGAGGGGCTGCATGTTTCTATCTAAAATAGAATTTTGCGTGCTTGTTTTCTGGCCACATTGTTTAGTAAACAAGCCGGCACGATTTGTGTATTTGTGACGTCACTTCTCGCTTTCGTGGTGATTGGCGTCATGATCATGCACAACGCACGCGTCGTGAATATTTGAAATCGGCCGCTTAAGTTACGAAAGCTCTTATTTCTTGCACTTCTTCCCCTCAGGATTACGCCCCGTATTTACACACTACACCTAATCCATTCCTGGAGATTTAATTGATATTCTCAGGCGCTCTATATGTAGCACATTGTAGGCCTATTTGTTTTATTGGATGGCGTTAGCTAACCCGATTCAGCCTATGGTTGTTTGCTTCTACAGAGTAATTATATTTATTTCAATTGCGTTAATAGTTAATTCTGTTTCAGCTCCAAACATCTGAGCAAGAGCCATCATGAGCGGCTCTGTGTGCTACAAGTGCAATGAACCTGGACACTTCGCCAGAGAGTGCCAAGTTGGTGGTGGAGGTGGTGCTGGTGGTTATGGCGGTAGCAGGGGAGGTCGTGACAAGTGCTACAAGTGCAACCGTTTTGGACACTTCGCTCGTGAATGCAAGGAGGACCAGGTATAAAATTTTATAGTTTGAAAAATTATTTTCCTGTGTTGCTTTGTTTTATGAGTACTAATTTATTTTATGTTTTATTGTTTAGGACCGCTGCTACCGTTGCAATGGTGTAGGCCACATTGCTCGTGACTGCAACCAGAGCCCAACTGAGCCATCTTGCTACAACTGCAACAAGACCGGCCACATTTCCCGTGACTGCCCTGAGAGCCGTGATGGTGGATACGGTGGTGGTGGTAGGTCAAGCATGTCTTGCTACAACTGCAACAAGAGTGGGCACATGGCAAGAGACTGCCCGGAGGGCTCCAAGGCCTGCTACTCGTGCGGAAAGAGCGGTCACATCAGCCGAGATTGTGACAAGGAATCACGTTAGATGAATTTCCTCATCATTCCATCTGCATCTTAAATGAACATTTCATTTGGCTTTAATTTTTTTTTCCATTCACTGTTTTAACATAATGGATTCAGCATGCCGTGGTGCAAGTCTTATTCTTTTTTTTGTTTGAGCAATCACGGAACCCCAATCATGGGTGTGTATACCTTGCCACTTACTGTGACAACTTGAGGTGTCGTTAGACTTTCGAGTTCTTGAAACGATATAAGACTTAAGACTGTACAATCCTTTGACTAAGCTTAGAGCATTGTTGTATGAGTGATTGTGTTTTCTCTGGTCTTGTTGGAATGGTTTTATGTATGGTTATCCTGGGAAAACCCAGAACTTGTTGAGGGCAGGAGGAAATAAAGTTAAATGTGAGATATATACTACTTTTAATTCACCATTTCATATAACATCAAAAGCAATCCATTATTTTCTACCAACAAATAAGCAGACATTAAATAAAACTACTTTTGCAGTTGCCTGTGCATTGGGCACTAACAGGATTGATTCATCCAGTAAGATCCAATATGAGATGGTGGGACCAACACTCTTCCTAAACCATCACAAAATACATAAATTTTAATGAGGCCCTAAGCATTAATTGTGTGGGAGTTTACTTTGATATATTAGCAAACTTTCTTTCATACAAAATTGATCCTCTTCTGGTCCCAAACACTAATGCCTACATTTTAAGCAAAGATGCGGTGCTAGCTGGTTCTTAATCTAAACCGATTTAAAGTCATTGAAATTTGTGAAAATCACACCTGAGACCAACTTAGAACATTCTGTTTTTTTTCTTTATCACAACTTTACATGGTGCCAACATGTGAAGGGGGATTTGTGACTACGCAACAGTTACTAACACTCATCTAAAGCTGAGGGTTGATGGTGAAAAGATGACATCTGCTTCACAAGACTCAAATCTCAAAGTTTACTTCAACACATCTTCAAATAACGATCAGCTGCAATGGTCCTCTACCTCTAATCTTAAACCTCATATATACTTAGACTATTTCATGGCTATGAAATCACAGAGCACTAGCAAATAACAGGCATTTATCATATCACAGAGCTACAATTGAAAACTACCACAATCTACAACAAATTATCCTATTTCAAACACAACTATAAAAATAAGTCAACACATTTTGACCTAGAAAGCATCATACAACTTTTTAGAACACCTACCCTTAATTGACCAATGATATGTATGTTTCAGGATTAATGGTTTTAAAGACGGATTTTGGTCTTGGAGTTTGCAGTAGAATATGCACAGAATACTATTACTTTACATACTACATATCAAGTGATTGACTGATAGATGTCATATAAATGACAATAAATCATTTTCAAAGGTAAACTATATTTGATGAAGTGTAAATTAAATAAATTCTAAAACCAAAGTAACAATGAATGAACAGAAGTCATGTTAAAACGGTCTAAGCAGTTAGACATTGCAATGTTGCAAAAATTTCACTGGAAGGCAAACATAATTTAATTGATGGATTGCATTGAAAATAACACCAATTTTGTCCGTAAGCACTTAAAGTGCTATGCATTCAAAATTTGATTTTTAATTTGCAATTTATTATGGTCAAACTTCAAGTGAAAAGTATTTCCCCTGCAAAGTTAGCAATGTGCGTTTCAGTCATTTTGATGAGGTTCACTTGATAGGTGAATGAGAATTTATGAGTTCAGAAGTATACAGGTGACATGATTATCTTAAATACTGATGTCATAATGTTTGAGCAGAAATTCAGAGGTTGAAAACTCCAATAAAATTACAAAATTCTTTGTAGGGTATGCACCAATCAGATTTGAAGGCGTCCATGAACACTACTTCACCGAATTGTTTTCTCTACAGAATGGTAGACAGAAAGGGATCAAGGAGAAGGCTTGAGCTTTGTAACCAATAACTAAGGCACTGTCCTAATAAATATTGGCCCATAAGGAGTCTATCCATGATGGATTAAGATACCTGCATCATAGACAAAATTGCTTTGACTTAGCCCTGGGCATATTTGCCTTACTCTTAATTTGTAGCTCTAAAAGTTTTAAGAACACACTCCACCAACAATTTTTACATCACTTTTGTTAAACAATATTTAAGAAAACATACAGACGTCATAGGGAAAAACACTTAATACCTGAAACAATAATTGTTCAATTGTCAAAGATTTTCGCTTACCGTGAAAGTTATAGAATTAAATCCATTTACACAACAAATAAAATGTACCTGGTGTCATTTTCCAAAAAAACATGTCTTGAAAGATCATTCAAAAAAACTGATTCTCGGAAACTGTTTGATAAATAACAAAAAAACAGCATAATACATGCATCTCTAAAAAATAGACATGAGTCTGCTAAAATACTGATAAAATTGTCATCAGTTCTGCACTGCTGCAATTCTGAAATTTAGCAGGCAATTGGAAGAGCAAAATGTACACAAGAACATGGGAAACAGATATGGCATCAGTTCAGGCTAGTAGGAAGAAGGAAACAAAAAGAAAGCCCCACTTTAAATCTGTTTTTAGACAAATAAGGTAAGACTCCTCAGAATTAAGCTGTTGCTAAGTACAGAACAAACAATGTGCAAAATCTTTACTTATCCTCAATAGTCAAGAGCAGTATTTTCTTGCGTGCACTGATCTCAATTAAATGAAGGAAACTTTAGTTTACTTTCATAAAACAAACTGTTGAATCAAAGTCATATTTTTTGATGTGAGCAAAAACTGCTTCAGTAAAAAAGCGGATTAAAAAAACAGAAGTAATCAGAGCACCCAAACTTACCAAAATCTATCAAGCCAGGATTATGCTAATGATGCTATTACACTAATAGGATTTCACTTTTGTATTATTGTACACAACAAATCAAAAAACACTACTTCATTTCCATGTTAAAAACTTGCAAAAACCCAAAAGTACAACACAAGATCCAAAACTCTGGCTTAATCACAAGATTCTTCAGGAAATGGAGAAACAAATGCATTTAGAGATATGATGTATTCATCAAAAGTTGACTTAATTTAATGACTAGACAAAACAGTCTAATTTGCACCACGCTGGAGAAAACCAACCTAGTAACTATACTACTAATTGCAAATTTCGAATAGAGACTACACAAACCTAACAAAAAAACAACTAGAATGTCACAAAATTGTGACGGTATGTCCGCAACGCAGAAAACAAATATAGATTTTTTTCAAACACTTGCAGGCTGAACAAATTCTCAATCAATCAATTTACTTTAATACAGATAACTGTGAAGTAAATTGACTTTACAATTGGAATAAATCTACAACAAAGAGGGAAAAAATAACAACTTGATGTTTAACGTGAATATGACCATTTAAAATATACTCAAATTAATACAGATTCGGTAAAAATTATATGACTGATTGTCTCCATTCAATACATATGAGATAGATTAATACACCAATTCAAAACAAAGAAGAATTCAATCAAGTTCAACACAAAGCCATAGGGGTCACAATCCCATTGGGGAAAAGGGGGTTACTTATGAATGTATTACTTCTCCATCTCAGACATGCAAGCATAATCTTTTTGCTTCTTGCACCTCAGGCGTTAAATTTCATCTGAAGATTACACAGGGATTACATTGGATATGATTATCATGCAAAATGAATGCCCATCATTTGGTCTCCTTCCATGTTCATATAACATTAATATAATATTTCTGCATTATGTAACAAAACAACTTATAAAAATATGTCTAAATCTCAGTAACTGATGATAGCTTGATATGTATCTTTCAAGGTATTTTTTAAAAACAAATTTAACATTAAATGAAACTCACCAAAATAATTTTATAATAGACGTTTTATCCTCTAATTAATATATTTACTCTGACAAGTTTGGATTTTGATATGTATTGAAATTGACATGTGATGTGTTATCAATAAAGTCATCAACTTAAAATGTTGAAATATACACTCTACGGGATTCTGATCATAAAACCACATCTAAGCATATCTCGAGAACCATCAAATAAATTATGATAAAATTTTGATCTTATGAAACAGGTTTTGGAATAAATATAGTGCACAGCTCACATTAGTGCTTCAGTCAACATCAATCACAGACACTAAAACCTCAATCTTCACAGATAGTAGAATTGAACACATTACTGAAGATAGAAAAATGCACACCAATTAGAATTCGGATGTGAAATAAGATTATAAAAGAAAATCATAATTTGTAAAAGCATAAATTAATAAAGTATGAAGATCTCCATAGAAAAAGATGCGTTTTACGAAGCAACAGCACTACAAAGCTAAGGCGTCATTAGTTCAGATGGTGAAGTAGACATTGTTGGTGATGAAATGGCCAAAGTCTCCAAACTAGCAGCTGCAAGAGTTTCTTTCCATTTCTCCTCATCAAGACCACACTGATGAACTGCATTGTCAGACTTGCAGCGTCGCAAAGTCAAAAGAGAAACCTGTTCAAAATAATAGTTTCATAATAGACTTAATATTGAGAAAACGGTTGTATGTGTATCCATTAGTACCGCAATGCTAATACCTTTGAACGGACAGGCAAATCAGAGTTTGACTTTTTCATGGCCATATCTCCAGTAGCCATGGAATCAAGCGATCTGGTGCGTATTCCAATTAATTCTAGAATTTCGCGCATCTTTTCTGGGTACTCACTGTGCCCTAGATTAATACAGGAATCACATTACTTTGGTAAAAGTATTCAAAATTTACTCTGTGGAATTTCAAATATAAAATTCTAGTTGAGCAGATATAGATAGGAAAAATGTAACATACCAGATACCAGGTCACTTAGGTCATAATTGAACATACGCCTGTCCTTTAAATTTATCGGTTGTAGACCTGCAACTCCACTTGCCATTGAAAATGTGCGGTACAAAAATTTAAGTAACCAATCCCCCCTGTAAAATTATGTAGAACGATTTAGAGTTGTTCACAGCCATGATAGGTAGAAAATAGGAAGGAGTATGCTAACCTGCAGTAACCATTTACAATACGTCCAGACACAACACGGCCAAATCGAGACCATTCTTTTGAGCTACCAGTTACAGGAGCTCCAATTAAAACAGCATCTTGCACAATGCCCTCACATTTTCCTGGACGACTAGCCATTTCTCGCAAACAGTAATAGATGACTCTAGCCCCCAAACTGAATCCAATCAGTGTCACTGGCCTCTGCCCTTGTTCCCTTGCCATCAGAACTTCGGCCAACTGTTTCCCGACCTCCGCAGAGCGTCGACAGCACACACCCCATGGATTATCAATCACAGAGGCCAAAGTAATCAAAGAAGCAGGCCACATAATTGCATTTAACAATCCTTTAGAAAAAACATGAATAAAAAAAATAATAACTAGTATTTTGCATATGTTATGGTTGGAGATATGGGGGTGGCTAAACCTAGGATTAACAGGGTGAACCTAGGATTGACCAGGTCACTTTAGTAATATTACGTGCAGACACTTACACAGATTCTTTGAAAAAACTATTCTTTCTTAGGTTTCTGATGAAGAGCAACACATTGTCTTATTCCACAAGATTTGTTGGATAGTGGCATTTGCTGCTGCATTTGACAAAAAAAAAAACAAGAGCAAATGCCACTCCAGCACATCATCTGGAACAAATGAAATATACTGCTTCTCCACTCCCACTAAAAAAACAAAGAAACTGGAACTAATCTATGAAAGAACCACAAGAAAGATAAACAGCTTTCACTCTCTCCATTCTGTTGCCCTTTGAGGTTTCATTAATGTGTCAGCAACACTCAACTTCCTGCACATGCTCAACCAAGAAACAACCGGCAGTATAATTTGCTGTACCTAGGATTATACCAAGGCTTACCAAAATTGCCTGGACAAATCCAATGTTTGGCCAGCTAATCTTTCGTTTACCCATCTACCTAGCTCCAACCATAACATGTAGATAAAACCATAATGCATCAAGAACATACCAGACAGAATAGTGTATTTCAAGGCTTCCTGAGCAGCCATTGACACAGCAAAGCTGAGAATGTACTCCATTGCTTTTCCTAGTTCAAGCAGATATTGTGACTCATAGCGTAAGTAGTACTGTTCTCTTGAACAGAGTAATGATCGCCATGGCCGAATAAAATTGTCATCCCTTAAATAAGAAAACAAATAGTGTAAATTAAAGAAATAAAATGATAACTGACACAAAAATTTACAAAACGTTGACTTACGCATCATCTGATAGCCAGCCAGATATAACAATACTGATATGGAGCTGTTGAGTAATAAATGCACGATTATTGTTGTTTGACACAATGGATGATTGTGGTTTCAAAGTGAGTGGTCCAAATGCAAATTCCTCAATTTCACCAACTCTTTTTTTCATTTTAAAACCTGTAATACAACATTTTCCAAAAAGTGCATCTCCACAGAAACAAAACACTAAAAACACCAAAATCAATACTATTAAAACTTTTACCTGTAAGACCAGCTCCTGCAACTCCAAACAATGAACCAATAATAGCAATGCCAGCTGTCGAGCCTAATGCTGCTGCTGCTCCAGCTGCTCCTGCTCCCCCTAAAATAGTTCCCATTCCTGCACCAATTAAAGGTGCAGCGAGACCACCTGTCAGACCTAATACTGCTCCCCCTCCCAAAGTTGCCAGACCAATCAAGGCATATCGCTTGATCTTACGCCCTCGATTGCGCTTATTTAGCTCTTGCTGTTCCTCCCTAAAAACAAAAATACAAGAAGATTTAATCAAAAATGATCTTTGGCCAAAACTGGTGACGTTTGAATTGGATATTTCTTACTCAGATGGCTCTTTGTGCTCTTCAGTCAAAAATTCAACAACAGATTCCTCATATAACTCTAATAACTCCAAGGGAACGCGCAGTAGAGAAGCCATATGACGAATAAGAACTCTCATTCGGGCATCGTAATTTCCTGAACATACAGAGCCATTTATCAACTTATTTCTGAAAAATTCACAGCATTCTGTTGCTTGCCAGTGAAAAATTTTACCTCCTTTAACAGCTAACAACACCATGTCCTCAACAACTAAAAGGCTCTTGCCTTTCAAGTTTGTCTCGCCCAACAGTAGTTCCACATAAGCATCAGTTGACTGGTTACCTTGGCCTTCAATAAGACTGATCATGACACCTTTCACCTTAAAAATGTCAACAAAAATAATGGGATGAAAATAGAAGACAAAACAAGACAACGTACTTAATTCAATCTTTCTTGACAAGCATACCTGTTTTGGGAGTTGTAAATGCTGCAGCAAATTATTGATGCAACTTTGGTTGAATGCCTGGTCCCATTCATAATTGTACAATTCATGTAGAGAGAGTGCACATATGGCAGCATATGAATATAATCCAGCATCTGAGAGAAGAGCTCGCAACTGCAAGCCTTTGCCTGTAATTGGAAAAACATCAATGACAGTGAAGTAAAATCGAGCTTTGCATCTGTCAATAATTATATAACATAGCAATAAGATCTGAATAAGTCCCTGAAGGAGCAAAACTGAAACTGTCGGTCACATATTGATGTATTATCAAATAAAACATGCTAAATTAACATAAAGTTAGTATTAGATACCGCTATATGTAGTTTTGTTGACAGCTTCCAACAAAACTAAAGAAAGCATAAGCAGAATAGTAGCAGTAGCTAAAAAAAACTACGCATATAATAGCTGACATCAATTTGTTCAAAATCTTCTGCTTCAGGTAGGTGACAGCTGAGGTAACCAAACACAAACTTACCACTTTTTATGAAGAGTCGATTGCACTCCGTGGTTGGGTCATCACCTGAATGTTTACTGTCGTTTACCGACGCCATCTCGACACTTGGATAAAAACGTCATAAAACCCTTACACATCTATAACAAATATGGAGAAATAAAATATATAAAAAGTTTCAACCCAAATAAACATTAGCTTGTGAAAACAAAACAATTAACAATTGCTGCTGGTTGGTTGCGTCTTGCGTAATCAACCGCAGAAAAAAAAAGAAGAAGAAAACCCCGGGAAAAATTCAAAGAGTTTCTATTGTAGGGAAGTTCTTCTCTTACCCTTGAGAAACCAGTGAGTAAGTTGGTTAAAGAAATTGTCAGAAGCAGCACGATCAAGCAGTAAATACCTGTTCACACTACGCCGGTTTGCTCCTGACTGAGGCAATCGCATCGCATCCATCGCGGTGTAGGAAGGAAGTCCGAGGGGGGTGGGGTGGGGGTGGGGAAGGGGGGTGCAGGACGTATAGGATGTATGGGACCGTATGGAGTTTACGCGTTGAGAGCCACCACATCACTGCACGCAAACCAGTGCCGTTAGGCCAAGAGGGGACGAGTGAAGAGCACATGGTCCTCATTTAGAGAGCTTCATACAGCCGGCCTGCGACTCGACGGAAGTTAGAGTCGGGTTACGAACATTTCCTTCCGATGCCTCCTGCATCCTGTCTACCAGTTCCACCCACCCCTGTAGACTCAAGCAATTCTTAGTAGAACTGATACCACAGTACTGCCGCAGTCGTAGCAGATAGGACAAGGAACTTATGCAACAAACTAAACTGGTTGGTTCTGTATTGCCTTTATTGATGTGCATATACAGTACAATAGCATCCTTACTATGTATATAAAAAAGAGGCAATAATGAAAGCTTTATTTATGAACCTACAAAAACTAGTCTCATTCACAAAAAATTGTTCACAAAACTGACTCAGAACTTCATGAGAATAAAAATGGTTATCATCCATTTTGTAAAAAAAGCTTCAGAAAGATAAATGTACATAAATTTCACAAAATTGTTTCCATACTTAGGAATATTTACTTTCTATATCATACACATCAGACTGACTTTGAAGGCACCATGTTTTTATTTAGCAGGCGATTAACATTGACAAATATTATACATGCCTGGTGGTATTTTTTTCCCAATTCAGTAATGAAACTTTAATACATGTAATGATAAAAGTAATTCATTTTTATAAAGGGGAAATCAGCACTAGGTACATGAATGGAGTGATGGGTTACATGTATATACTATTGCAGTATGTCAACTATCAATAAGCCAACCCATCAGTCCATTCCAAATTGGCGTTGAAGCGATGTAAAAATATGAATAAGTATTGCAGTGAGCAAGCTCTAGCTTCAACAACCATTTCATTACAAGGCAAGTATTCAAAATAACAGTAATATCAGTAAGATCTACATTCACTGATGCAAGGAGCACCAATTGATTGTTGTGTATTTTTCTTCTTTAGAAAGATTACAAAATTGAAGTTCCAGCTAAGTTTTGAGCAATGGCACTTACATACCTTAATTAAATACTGCTGGTCTACAGAAAACAAAGAACAAACAGGCAACCGATCAAAAAATAATTTACAACTTTCATGAGGAGAATGCAGTAACTCACATGAGTGGAAGAAACCTAGTTCAAATCAGTATAATTTATAACAACAATAAGAAAACAAAACTTGACCATACATAACACCGCATTGAATAAGACATACACATGATTGTTCCATGATTATTTAAAATCACAAAGGTTACAAAAAAAGTTGCAAATTGTATAAAATGTTGCAACACCATGTACATACAGATGTCTTGTCAACCTGCAATGAACGTTTTTGATGCACAATCAGGAACTTACTGAGACTGATATTCTATTCACATCGCATGATTTTGAGAAACCTTTCTTTAACAACAAATAATTAAAATGCAGGACTTATCATAAGATGAATCAAATTCAACCTTCTTAAATGCTGATAAGCATGGGGGAAATAAAACTATTCAAAACAGACAAAAATTATAAAAAGATAAGCTTTGGATAAAGATGGGAAAAGGGAAAAGAAAGGGGGAAGGTGGGCAAATGCATAAACAATGTTTTGAAGTATTCTAATTAGAACTTAAAATTAAGTACCAAAAATACATTCTTTTGCTCTAGCTCCCATATGAAATTGCAGCAATTGATTCCTAGCTATAACAAAATGCAGTTTAAGTGTAGAACCATATCAAATTACAGAAAACAATTTAGACACAGCATCCTCTTAAGATTGATACTTTAAAAATAAATTCGAACAAAAGATCAATTGATTTTAGACTGGGAACATTTTAATCTCAAAACTCATGGATGTGCTTCAACAAAGAAGTGTATACTGCAGTATATACAAGTGAGGCTTGCCTTGCCTCATTCGCTTGTTACATTGATTGTCTCTCAGTCCATAATTAATGTGCAGGTGCCTTCAAACTTATCTAATTTAAACTCTTTTTGATTCACATTAATTTGGAGTTGCCTTGTGAGGAATGTTGATAAATAATAGTTTAGTACAATCACTGCAAGAAAGACAGGTTTTAAAATTTAAATTTAAAGAACTAAATTGGCAGATGAGTGTTACTGAGTGAGGACACAATGTACAATGCGTAAGGAATGTATTGCAGCAAAGGCTTGCACTCAGAGCATGTTTGATGCAGAATACACGTCAGTTGGTTTCTTCCTTAATATGACAACACTTTGGTTTTGCTAGATGCCACGTCTCAATGGTAAACAATTATTTTTATTTGTACTAACATACATACTTATTTATACTTCTAGCAAATGGAATAGTACCAAGTGTCCACCCAGGGTGTCAATCCAGCAGATATTACTGTGGAATTTACAGGGACTTTAGTCTGCTACAGTAATCACAGCTTACTTCAGATTTAAAAAAAAAATATTTACAATAAAGTTGGCTTAGCAATGCAACTGAATAAATTAAAAAAAAAAATACAGACCAAAACAAGAATAACAAACTCTAAAAAATGAAGTTTGGCATACAGATGAACTTTCATCCTGTTTGTCATACGTAACAAGATATTGTGCTCCAACAATGCGCAGCAAAAAGAGCTTGAAAGGAGAGATCCTCTTCACAATTTTGAAAAATCTAGAGGCTATTATCATATGGGCAGTCTTCATGGCCAAACCTTCATTTGGGGCAAGGTTAACTCCATATACTAATGATGGACTGTAATTAAAGTACAACTTTTGAAAATGTTTCAAATACATTCCCATCCTAAAAATCAGGAGTGAAAAAAAAGAACATCAATTTACTCATTAAATTTACTTGAAAGAAACCCACAATATCACATACTTTTAAAGTACATAAAAGAACTTAAAAAGAGAGCAGACAGTAAAAACCATGAGCACATAATTACTGGAGCAATATTTAAGAAGGTGGACACAATTTTTTCATTTGAAAATCACAGAAGGATGCACACTATGTAACATTTAACCTTAGGGTACACACAAAGGGCATTATGTAGTACCAGGTTGGGTACAATAACAAGACATGCATTTTTGTGTTGTATGCATTAATATGAAAATAAGCATTTGAGGTCAATCAGTCACGGGAAATAGTGGCTCCAGTAAGGTGCGTACACATATCAGTCTCATACAAACATAAGTGGACGGATGGCATGAGTACTGATCAACAAAGTCTTAAGAATAGAGCTTACCTTGCTTGGCACAAATAAGAAAGGTCACACACCATGTCAATTAAGAACCCCACATTGATAGGTAAAGCCAAGCTAAAGACACAGAAGTCTTTCTTGATTAAAGATATGGTTGACTGAAATAACACAGACAAAATGCTCTTCAAGGCACTAAATTTACATTTAAAATATGTTTGTTCACACCAAGGTGAAATTTTGAAAACAGTAACTTTATAAAATCATTAAAATGCTAAAATGTAGCAATAAAATCCATTTTCTTTAGACAAAATTAAAAGGTGACATCAAACTGAATTTGCTGCGTAAATGCTGGAAATATCACAGCAATCACTTGCTCATTGTTGAATTGGCAGGGAGAGTAGCAGACCGCTGCTGAAGACTTGCATATTGCTTAGGATTTGATCTAACAGATTCCCTGTAAAAAAACACAACAGAGCTCTAGAAGATTGATACTAGATAAAACTTGAAATGTTAAGAATGCTGAACTTTGTTTTACCTAGGTGACACTTTAGATCCATCAAGTGTCCCACTACCTAATGTATTTGCTTTATAACCACACTTTTGAATCTTCTTGGAGAGACGTTGCACCCATAGTTTCTGATCATCGGCACTCACAGCAAGGACTAACAATTCCTTGGCCGAATTCGGATCATAATGCAATTTGCATGGTGCAATTGCTTCTTCTTTCCGATCAAAATGCTCCTTGTGCACTTTGACACGACACCCTGGAGGATGATGGTAATAATACAGTGTAATTACTTTAAGATAACATTTCAAGAGTGCAGATAGATTTTGGTAAGCTGTAATACATACGTCGACACTCTAATGCAGGTGGGGGTCTAAACATGTGCCACAATGGCTTTGTGCAGACTTCACAATTAGTGGGCATGTGATAGGATATTTGCAAAAATTCATGACCTTTCAGTTGAATAGTACCAGGTTTATCATCCCTCAGCGGAGGAAGTTCAAGTTGAGTCATACTACCTTCATCAGGTCTACGAGCTTCACCTTCACCAGCATATAAAAGCTGAAAGAGGGTGAAGTTGAGAACATTACTTTACAGGGTAACCATGCAGATATTAGTAGAAAGTATTGATATGAAATTCACCTGAAATATACGTGGAATATCCTTAGGATCAGCTCTAATGACATCACCATGAGTCACAGATCTCACATGAAAAACTTTACTGTAAATAATTTTTAAAATTGTGAAAAAGTTGAGCAAATTAATCATGATCCGACACACACACACACAAAAAAAACAACAACTAATGAGCATATTTCACTTAGTTGTGAAACTTACTTAAGATCAAGAATGAGAATAGGGTCAGTATTTTGTTTATCACTTTCAGAGTTGTAGAATATAATTTTCTTTGAAGATACAACAACATATTGTTTTTTCCACCCATGTCTTCTTATATTCTGTTTGTTAGGTACAGACAACCAACCTTCTAGGCGAGATTCTGAAAATAGAGATGGTGGTAAATCAAACCTTAAAGAATCTACACTGCTTCATTTTTCAAAACAGAAAAGTCTAGATAGATAAATATATGGATGGGTAATTACCTGGGCTTAGATCATCTGTATCATTATCAGCACTAGATAACGAGGCTGTTTCACTGGACACACAAGCCAACTTCCCTTGCAACTGTTCAATTTCAGAGTCTTTGGAGTCAAGCTCCATCTGAAGGCGCACTCTGGATTGACCTTCTTCGACTAGGTTGGATTGCATTTCCTGCAATTCTTTCTGATATTTGGTAACAGACTGAGAGTACTTCTCCCTTTCCTGAATAAAATCAGAATGTGAGGGTATGAACTTGGATATGCCGCTTGAGGGACAGGACCGTGATTCAATAGGAAGTTAAAAGAAACAAAAGAATCAAAACAAACCTGAGTCAGTTCTTGTTGTAGTTTACGGCACTCTTTTTCTTTTCTTCTCAAATCAGCTGATGATACCTTACTACCTTTACCCTTTGTTGTTTGATTAATATCTTTGCGGTTCATAATCTCAGCAAGTTTGTGAACAGCTTGCTCCTTAAGTAATTGTTCTTGTTTTAATTGCTTTCGGAGTCGTTCCATCTCTTCTTGGACGTTGGATGCCTTCTTAACCTCTGTTTAAAAAAATGAGCACCATAAGACAATTTTAACCACCATAAGTACATACCATGATTACTCTATTTTTGCAGACCTTCTTGGATAAGTTTCATTTGGAGACTCATTTCATCCTTCTCCTTAACAAGTTGCTCAATTGACTTCTTATAATCTTGTTCTCTTTCCTTTATCTGCAAACGGAAAGGGGATAAAGACATAGAATATATTCTGTGGACATAGATGAAAAAACTAAGGAGTCAACCAGTTTTAATTTACCGAGTTCAAATTAGATTCTCTAGCACAAAGCTCTGACCGATGCTTCGCTAACAAATCTTTTAGTTCAAGCTCTTTCATAGTTTTGTCTTTCTCCAAATCAGCTACCGTCTCTTCGGCTATAGACCGAGCAAGTGCTTCTGAGTCAGCTCTTGCAAGAGCTAGTTGTAGTTGGTGCGTAAGAGAACCTCGTTCTTCTTCCAATTCAATTAATGTTCTCTGGCGTTCTTCTAAATCCTCCCGGAGTTCTGCAGCTTGAGTTCTGTACAACGTCTAACGAACAAAAAGTAAAAGAAACCATTGAAACAAATAAACTTAAAACACTGATTGCAGCCACTATTAATTGTACAGCTGAAAGAGTATAATCCATCACATTGTTCTAAAATTGCAGTTTAATCTCAATCTAACAAAGTATCAACTTAAGTGCACTTCATAAACTTACAGAAAAGTATTGCTCTGCTTCTAACTGATCTTGAAGTTCTTTGCGTTGTAATTCGTCAACAGATCGTTGAGTTTTCAGCCTATGCAAGTCTTCCTCGGCAATTCGTTTTCCTTCTCGTAAAGTAGTTACTTCACCACTAAGTTGATCATGGCGAGCTTTAAGAGCACCCAGAGAAGAAGCCTGCTGGTTGACTTCACTCTGGAGGGCATTTTTCTTTTGTTGCTCTTGTTCTACTTGAATGTGCAGTGTTTTAACCTTTTAAAATGGGTGGGAAAGAGACACATGATGATACAGTAGATCCAGAAATATGAATGCTTGCATTTGTACTACAGTATTTAAAAACACCAACACATCAAAGCTGGCCAAACTGTACCTTTTCTACTTCTTGCCTTTGTTCACCCTCTAATTTCTGCAATCGCTGCTGAATTTGACGATAGTCTACTGATAACATTGACATCTGCCTCTCCTTTTCCTGACACATCATATCAGCCTTCTGTCTAGCACTCTTTTCTTCATTTAACTTAGTTTGAAGAGCTGAAATGAGAACAATTCCAATGATGTGAACATAAAATATAAAGTACTTCAAATTTAAAAGTAGTAGATTCAAGCAATGATGCAGCTTTCATAGGCTCAGATTTTCTGCCCTTAAAACAACATAGCTTCAAACTTCTCTTTTTGGAGCATATTTTTGAGCAGTGACACACTCTATACCTTACAAGATTACAAACAGACAGCGCATTAACCAAAGACAGGCAGCTACAATATCTAATTTTACCTTTAAATATGAGATCCATTCGAACTAAAGCATGCACAAACCAAATGCTGATGTAGTTAAAGGTATGAACAATCTAAACAATCTTTGTTATTAACAGTTATCAATGAATCCTATTTAATTATAGGTTATTTTGCATTCCAAAGCAACTGGATGAACATGCATGACATGTAAGTATTGATTGATATTTAGTATTAAATGTTTTGGATAGAAATTGTACACCTCAAGTGCCATGGATGACTAAGAGTGACAAACATGTTTTGGTATGGTATAGTTTCAATTTAAAAACAAAAGTAACACTATAGATGAAATATTGACTACTATAATTTTGAAAAATTACCTTTCACAACAGCAAGATTGGCCTCTTCATTTGAAACAAGTCCTCGTCGCTCTGTTTCTTGATGACTTCGCACTTCTTGCTGATATCTATTTTGAGCAGCTTTGAGCTCTAGACCTAAGGATGCACATTCTTTTTCTAGGGATGATACTCTCTCACTGAGTTGACGATTGTCTTCAGTGACCTTGTTTTCACGCTGGGCACATCTCTCCATCTCTCCAAGAACTGATTGAAGTCGGACTACAAAAAAACACAAAAAAAACAAACATTTTTCTCTTTCTGTAATTACATTACACATTTTAGAATAAAACAAGCAAAATCAGATCAAAACTGTACCTTCTAATTCATTGTGTAAATCTGAAGCTTGAGTTCTCTCACTACGCTCTTGACTAAGCTGCCCTTGAAGAGATGCTACTTCTTGTTGAAGGGAGTCTCGCTGGTTTTGAAGGAGCAGTAACATTGCTTTCAATTCAGCTTGCATTTGCTCACTGGCTGATTGAGCAACAGTTAGTTCTGCTGCTTGCTTTCGAAGCCTAGCAGATGTCTCTGATTCAGTTTTAATTTTTTCTTGCATGTCAGCCACTTGCTTTTCTAAGGATGCAATTTTATCACTAGTTTGCTGATTGTTGTTCATCTCTCTAGTGCGCTTGTTGGTCTCTTCGTCTAATTTACGTTTCATATCATGCAGAAGTGATTCTGCTTTCCTTCTGGCCTCATTTTCACCGTCTGCCTTTCTCTGACTCTATTAAGGTAGGCAGATAGATAAATTTGCTTTAATGTAGGCCTTAGGAAATTATTAAACAAATATTTTAATTTCAAGGTCTTACCTCCTTGAGGTCATGCTTTAAGATTGTGAGTTTCTTTTCTAAAGCATTGGCCTCCTCTCTCAATTCTGTTTCTCGTTTTGTAACAGAATCTAGCCTGGACACCAGAGTTCGTTGCTTTGCTTCAAGTCCCTCAACTAGTCTTCTTTCTGTTTCAAGGTCAGCTTCCAATTGCTTAGTATGAAGTGGTGTTTCACCTCCTCCAACATGGTTCCCAGAGCACTATGCAACAATTAAAAAAAAAAAGGCATAGACTTGAAAATTACAATAAGTCAAAAACTTGTTGCAACTCCTCAAAAAAGCTGAGTACAACAAAACACTACAAAATTGTTTAGAGAGAAACTTACATTATCGACCTGTTGATACAATAGACGTTGTGTGACAGAGAGAGAAAAAGACAACAGCAAATCCATGAAACACACATTCACAACAATACCTCAATCAAGTAACCAAAGACAGAAAAGTAAAAGTCTGTAACATCACAACGGTAAAAAAGTACTTACAGCATCAGGTGAATCAGTATTCCTCCCTCCTAATAATCTGAAAAAGGATCAACATAATAAATTTTCTAATATTTCCAGAGAGTTTTGATCATTACACAAGGGTCTGAGCTTACTGGTAGTCTCTTGAGTAGGTAAACCCAACAAAAGGCAGGTGGTTGCCAGCGAATGCCTTTGGGGTAGTAAAGTTTTCTTCAGGAGTTTCATCCTTATCAACTTCATCGAAATTGCTTGTATCATCATCGCCAGATAGTTCTGGTACAACAGGTGGGACACCTACAAGTAACACCAAAATTTAGGTGACACAAAAAAATCACATTCCTGAAGATAGTCAATTTCCGTTAGTGCGACCCCACTGGGACCGCGGCCCAAAAACGTTATAACGGGGAAATCGTTGTATCCGATAGCATTAACAAGAAAACTAATGCCATGGGACGGCGGAAAAAATCGTTATAACGGGGAAATCGTTGTATCCGATAGCATTAACAAGAAAACTAATGCCATGGGACGGCGGAAAATCGTTGGGAAATCGTTGTATCCGGGGGTCGTACTAACGAGTTTTGACTAGATATAAATAATATAGTTAAGGCTTACATTCACGAAGGTTATCAAATGTCCATTGATCGTTTCTGAAAAATGGGTGTGACTTTATTTCCTCCACACCATTTCTACCAAGGCGTTTGGTTCTGCAACACAAGAATATGGAAAGCAATGCAAACAGAGGAATCAAATAAGTAATTCTAGAACGGAAACATAATTTCAAAAGTATTTTACCTGTCGGTAAGAAAACCATAAATAAGAGATTTGGCCTGGTGAGATATTTCAGTGTCGTTGGGGAAATGCAAAGAGTTGCTGTGGTCCATGATTTTCGAATACGTCCCAACAAGGCTATCTGCGTAGAATGGTGTGTCTCCCACTAACATTTCATACAGGAAAACACCAACAGACCACCAATCACATTCTCGCCCATAGACACCTTCACCCCCTTGCGATTGCAAAACTTCTGGTGATATGTAGTCAGGTGTGCCTACAGCAGTATCAGACCGTACAAGACCATCCTAAAAAAAAGGCAAGATTTCATTGGACAAGGAACTAAGAAAGGTGAATAAAAAATTAAAAATCAGTGAGAGATCATACCGTGTCCATCTTCATACAGGTTCCGAAATCAGCCAGTTTTAAATGTCCATGTCTGTCCAGCAGCATGTTGTCTGGTTTCACATCTCTGTAGAAGAAAGGGGTTAAAAAGGAATTAAGAAAGTAAGAATTAAAGAAAGACAACGTGCCTCAGCCACCTATCCACTCACCTGTGTACAAAACCCATTGAATGTATTGCGTCCAGCGCCAACACAACTTCAGCACAATAAAACTTTGCCCATTTTTCTGGCACAACATAATTAGACATAAGATTAACTAAATCACCACCTGTAACACACACAAAAAAAATTAGACAAGAAAAGAGAAGTATGACTTAGGTAAAGCAAATTAGAGTGAACAAGTACCTGGCATGTAATCCATGACCATGTAAAGATATTTCTGATCCTGAAAAGCAAAATGGAGTTGAACAATCCATTCTGAATTAGCATGAGCCATTATGTCTCTTTCTTCCCAAAAAAATGCAGAGTCTGAACGTTTAATCTGAAACAAACGGGATTGATTCATGTGTGATGCACCATATTAAACATTAACTCTTAAAAAAATAAAAATAAAAACATTTTTTTTTTGGGGGGGGGGGGGGGAATTACCATTTCAAATTTGCTGAGCAGCTTCATTGCAAACACTTTCTGAGTAAATTTGTGTCTGACCTATAAAAAAAGAAATATGAGCAATGGTGGTGTATTGATGTTCCCTGCAACTGCTAATGTTTCCAACAAAAGTCATAATTTTGATTAGTTAGTGCTTTATTCACTCACCAGTTGAACCTCTCCAAATGCTCCACGGCCAATAACTTTGATTAATGTGAAGTCATCAGTCTTCATTCTCAGATTGCATATATCAGATGCTACATGGTCATCTAGACATTAGATATAAAAATAATATATCAGTACAACAGAACAGAAACACAGATTCACTAATGATGGTAATGGTAAGTTGTAAAACAAAGTAAAAAACAAAACTTTTAACTCACATCTATTCATGTATGCTTCTATGTTTTTCATACGTTTTACAGAGGGATGATCACAGTCAGCCACCAAAGCTTGAACAGTATCCTGTAAATGAAAATGTGATAAAGCAACAAATAGCACATGCAATTTTTATTAGAGATTCTTGTTTTGAACAATGACTTACTAAAAGACAGTCAACATTTGTGACACTCCTTGGATCCTGAATTTTTTCTTCCAAAGTCCTCAGTCGCCTCTTCCGATCTTCATCCTTAGCTGTATCCATGATGAGCTGCAAAAAAACAAAAATACTCTTTTAGAAGTTAACAGGTATCGAGTAATTTCAGGGCTTCAATAAAACAGTAAGATGTAAACAAATAGAGTGCTGTTCGCAGTAAAGAAAGACATAGATAATGGAGGACCAATTAAAGGGTGGAAAAAAGTTTGAATGAAATGAATGGTTAAAAATAAAAATGAGTAACCTCTATAAAAGCAGTGTCTCAAATGCCACACTTGTGGTATACATTTTTAATAGGATTCCTTAATGAATTATAAAGACCACTAATTTCAACAGCAAAAAACCGACAACAAAGATTGGTATGACAGTGAAAGGTAAACAAAGTAATAAAAATAACACTGTAAACAGTGATTCTAATAATAGCTTTCACACTTGGCACAAAGAAAACAAAAGCACCCAGTCAAAGTGTATTAAAGCACAAGTAATCTGCGCTAAAAATGTATAGAAAAGCGAAAAAACAAATCTTAATGACTGAATGACATTTCTATTATTTTTTATACAGAATAATAGAGGAGCTCCCAGCAACATAACCTCACATTCATGTTCTTTTATGTTCTAACTACTCACTATGATGATACATTTTCTACTAAAACTTCAAAGATACAAGAAGTTAAGGATTTTGGCGAAGACAGTCACCAGTTGTACAGAATTCATCAACAATATTTACCTTTGGACGGGCTCGCCAGCTCCAATTTCAGCGATAATACTATGAAGTACCTAGAAGACCTTCAACGAGAGTCAACTGATTGCCTATACAGACAGTCTTGTCTAGTACAGCGCACATACCACGATTTAAACATTTGTTAAAATAATCCAAATAAATAGGAAATGAGTAATATCTAGAAAATCGCAAAACTTAACACAACATACTCAGCCAGCCGCTCAACATGGCTCCTTCAGCGGCCTCCTCAGCTGAGATGTATTCACCACGGTCTCTTCGATTCTTAAAGACACCTTCAACGCAAAAATTGAACTTCGTCACATTCTGACGACATGTTAAAAAGGTTAATGTGTAAAACGCCAAAATCAGCTCTTCATTTGAAGTTGGAACGGTTCAATTGCCTACGAGATATATAGTAGCTACGGGAAAGTTACGCGCGGCACCAACAGCTCCATCAACCCATTCACACAAAAAACTACGCCCACCACGGAAAGTGCTCTCCATCAGCATAGCATAATTACGCTTTATTTAACGGTTTCGTCTGGCTAGGTTTAACAGGAAATATTTTTTTATTATCACATTGAGAAATATCATCACGCCGCTCTCAAACTTCACTTTTTGGTACCTGCCACAACCATGCCAAGGATGAATGGCTCGATATTTGCGTGTAATTAGCACACTTGTCGTGATATAAGATTGTTTCTGTTATGCTCAGCCTGACCCAAAAGATCTGACTTAATTCCACTTGAATCTGCTTTCTATTAAAGGGGAGCGCGCAATCCTCGACTTCAGTCATGACACAGCTTCACAAGTTTCTGTGGAAGTTTAAACACGCGCGCTGGGGAAGACTTTTTGTACTAGGCAGTGCCAACAGCGTTGTGGACTTGTGAAGATGAAAAAACCTTTAAAAATACTTTGTAAGAAACATATCGTCATATCACGTCTCAAAATCATATCAAATTTTAAATAATAAAGAAAAGTATGACTAGCAAATTTCAACTTTCTTAGACGTGGATGTTGTGAAATTTTCTTTCGTGTTGCCACCTTGGAGATAAAACAGGCAAGGAGCGGATATGTTTTTCCTTTTTTTACGGAAGTTCACAACAGTACAAGTTCTACCAATAGTTAGTGGATTTTCAAATCTCTCTTTGCCCATACATGTATAAAAATACGCCTAAATCAATTTTTCGAACTTTTTCTTACCAAAACTTGAAAATTTGTCAAACAAATTCCGTTTTTTTCGTACAAAATGTCGTTTTTGTTTAATGTGATGCCAGCGGTTGGTACAGCTGTACTGGTGTTGTCCATGCGCCGATACGTGTCCGGTCTTTCCGTCTTTAGGTAATGGCGGAGTTGTAGGGTGGAGGATCGGACACGCATTGGCTCACTTTAACTTTTAAAATGGTAAGGATTATCATCTTATCTATCTGAAAAATGCGCGTTGTGTATGTGATTTCTTAGTTTCTTACAATATGATGAAGTATTCTGGAACGTTGTTTGTATATTCAACTGAAATGCGAACCAGTTGATACGGCTATTGTAGGTTAACATCACACGTGTATCGTGTCTTGCTATGCGTCTCTGTAATATTGCCTGTTGTTTATTTTCATCGTTATTCAAACTTCCTCGGCAGTCTTCCTTTTCATGAATTAAGGCATGAATTTCACGTTAGCACTCGGCTGTTTCCCTTTACATCCTCATCGGCATCTGTTTTGTTTCGGTACACCGGGTCTGGAGCGCAGTGGGGCTTGTTATCACATCACATTGGTTCTTGATCTGCGCCTTCGGTCGTGATTCCCAATATATGTAATTTAAACTTCTTCGGTGATATTGTTTTTGTCTTTTCATTTTTCGTCGTGCTTTTTTCCCTTTTTTTTCCCCGTTTTGTACCATATCGTTATAGACTTAGACGCGTTCCTGTAACTTCAACAAACTCGTGCCATTATCAAACTTGTATTGCATTTTAGGACTTCAGTTATCACTTTGTATGTGCGTTGTAACTTTTCACAGTATTTACTGAAGTAAAATCGCGCGTAGTCTTAGCTGTTAGTTACTTAATCTGTTTGTAACCTTTTCATGTCTTCTCTTTTTCAGTCGATTTCAACCGCCCGCCCCCTTATTAGTGTATATAGTGAGAAGAATGAGGCCACAGGCAGCACAGTTGCTCTGCCTGCGGTGTTCAAGGCACCCATCAGGCCTGATGTGGTGAACTTCGTGCACCAGAACATGGCCAAGAACCATCGTCAGCCATACTGCGTCAATGACCAGGCAGGCAAGTAAAGCAATTGTTCTGCTCGTGTGCATGTCCAATTTATGTTTAAAATTCCTCTGAGCATTGTTCTGAATGTCTATATATCCCTTTACATTGACATCATCTGGATGCAATTAATGTCATAACATTAATGTGCGTGATATAAGTAACTTGCTGGTGCATGTGCTGTTAGTTGTTCATGATGAAATTTCTCTTCAGAGCATTGGGTTCTGAATGACTGTGATTCACTTAACGTTGACAATTTCTGAATTCAACTAATGTTGGGCGTGTTACTTTTATCTCTTCAATAAATGTGCTGTAATTTGTTAATGATGAAATTTCTCTTCAGAGCATTGGGTTCTGAATGACTGTGATTCTTTATACGTTGACAATTTCTGAATGCAATCCTTCCATGATAGCTGTTGTGAATGATGAAAATTCTCTTCAGAGCATTGGGTTCTGAGTGACTGTGATTCTTTTACGTTGACAATTTCTGATAGCAACAGCCACTCTAATTACATTCTTCGTCTTCTGTGTGATTGCAGCCTTTCATTTTGTCTATCTGTTTCAGGTCACCAAACCAGTGCTGAATCATGGGGTACTGGACGAGCTGTTGCTCGTATCCCCCGTGTTCGTGGAGGTGGTACTCACCGATCTGGCCAGGGTGCTTTCGGTAACATGTGCCGTGGCGGTCGCATGTTCGCCCCCACTAAGACCTGGCGCCGTTGGCACCGCAAGATCAATGTGAACCAGAAGAGATACGCTCTGGTTTCAGCAATTGCTGCATCTGGCGTCCCTGCTCTTGTCCAATCCAAGGGTCATGTTATTGATGCTATTCCAGAATTGCCCCTTGTTGTGAGTGACAAAGTTCAGGAAATTAGCAAGACCAAGCAGGCTGTTTCATTCCTTAAGAGCATCAATGCCTGGGCTGATGTTGAGAAGGTGAGGCCAATGATCTTATTCTTTCTGCATTCCTATCCTGCTTTCTTCAGTTTCTGATTTAAGTGTGCAAAGAAATGCAATATCAACAGGGAATTTTACCATCTCTTTGGGTATTAATGCCAATAGAGACTCAAATTCTAAACAGCATTCTGCAAACTGAATCAATATAGCTGATGTAGCTTGTAGATTTGTAAACTACCTGCACCCTATTGTTATTAGCTGTCTCGTGGAGAACAGTTGCTCTTTAGGGTGCTAAATCACTAGATTCCTAGGCATTCCCACTGTTGTCTCATGACTCTAGTGGGGGCATAAGGTCTCTAACACTCTCTGTACCACTTAATCATGAATGTCATGTCAGTTGTTGCACAGTTTTGTTTCTGGTGTCTCATTTGATGACACTCTACCATTAGTGTGCTAAATTAATTGTTTCCTAGGCATTCCCACAATTGTCCCTTAATGCCTTTTGTGGGGGCATAAGGTCACTAACAAATGCTTCTGCATATTTCAATCTTATCACTTGTTTGTTGCAGTAGTTTTAATTCTAGTACCTGTTCTAGGTCTACAAATCCCGCCGCATGCGTGCTGGTAAGGGTAAGATGCGTAACCGTCGTCGCATCCAGCGTCGTGGACCTCTTGTCATCTATGGCAACGATCAGGGTGTGACTCGTGCTTTCCGTAACATCCCCGGAGTTGACTGCGTCCCTGTTGACAAGATGAACCTTCTGAAGTTGGCTCCCGGTGGTCACGTTGGCCGCTTCATCATCTGGACCGAATCAGCATTCCAGGCCCTAGACAAGCTGTACGGCACCTGGAAGCAGGCTGCCAAGGACAAGAAGGGATACAACCTGCCCATGCCCAAGATGGGCAACACTGACCTCACCCGCCTCATTAAGTCCGAGGAGATCAGAAAGGTCCTCAGGCCCGCCCAGAAGAAGGTTGTGCGCCGCGTGCGTCGTCTCAATCCTCTGCGCAACCAGAAGGCCATGCTCAGGCTCAACCCCTATGCCGCTGTCCTCAAGAGGAATGCTATTCTTACCATCCAGAAGCGCATGAAGCAGCGTGCTGAGCTGCTCGCCAAGAAGCGAGGGGTAAGTGTTCCTCATTTTATTGTGTTGTTCAAACCCACAAGAGCCAGAATGAATGAAAATATTTACGAAGTATGAATGGATGCATTTACTTCTGCACAAGGACTACATTACGGTAGCATGTCACATACATGTTACATTTCACTTGTGCAGAGAATAAATTCAGCTTGTCGCCTTTGCCAAGAAACTTTATCTTGTCGAAGTGAATCAAGGATGTAACATATCTGAAATGATTTAATTTGTGCTTGGTTTCAAAATGTTACGAGCTCTGTGCTCGTAGCCTTAATTCTGAGCGAAGAAAGGTTTTTTCAACTTGTCGCCTTTGTCAAGAAAATTTTTCTTGACAGAGTGAATCAAGGATGGTACAGAGATTGCTTAATTTTATTTCTTGTTTATCTAATTATTGCTATATTTTTCAGGTCAAGGTTGTTGTGCCCAAGTATGAAGTCCGCCGTCAGGCTGCTCTGAAGAAGGTGACCAAGCCCAAGAAGGCTGCAGTGAAGAAGCCCAAGAAGACCGCTGAGCAGAAGGCAGCCCTTCGTGCCAAGCCCACCCTTCAAAAGCCTGTTTCAGAAAAGAAGGCACCAGCCAAGAAAGCCCCCGCTAAGAAGTAATTGTTGAATAAATATAACTTGGAAATTTGTGTTTTATTTGCACATCCTTCACTGTCTTATGGAGTCCTCAGCCATGGTGCCATCACGAAAAGTATTCCATCCTTGGAAAGACTGCACTGCACCATGTCTGTGTTCACTGGGTATGGCATTTTATATCTAGAAAACAATCGATGTCAGGGCACTTAAAATGTGAATGGTGCAGTTACATTCCTCTCACCTCTTTTGAACAGCTAACTGGGACTGTTGGCTCAGTTCTTCTTGGTGCTGTGCAGTAACTTCAATATAGTTGTCCTTAACACAAACATTTATTTCATTTGGGTGGAAGCTGTGGACATCTAAAACTAACTACAGTAGAATTAGTAAAGCAGTCTGGCTGTACAGATTATGTTTTGCAGATGCTTACTTGAAAGTTGTCACTTGTGAGGAAAACTTGGCCTGGAGGTGTTGTAAATGCTGGATCGTGTACTGTATACACTTCTTGATTAGAGGGGACCAAATTACCCTGTTCTGCCACACAGTGGTTCTGTAAAAACAATATACTAATAGATTTTGCTGTGGTACTTTGTGCTCGTAGATCATTCAATCTTGCTACATTTGAAGTCCATTGTTGCAAGGGGGAAGACTTATGTGATGCATTTGTTCAGAGGGTGAAAGAAGTCTTAGTTAGCATTTACTGACTTGCCTGGTCAGGGTAGCAGTTAAAGCAGGGAATCAAAACTGCAGGGGCCCAGTCCCCTAGTCGCTCAACTGCTTGATTGGCGCAGCAGCAGCAACACCAAGGGAGTGAACCTATTTTATTGATCAAAGCATGTACTACTAAAGTGTGGCCTCAAACCAAGATAAGCACATGCCATTGGTTGGCCAGAAAGAATAATCTACCAGCCACAGGACATGTCAAAGTGAGTAGTCCCGTTTCTTTTGAATGTTTCTGGGAAAGTTGCTGAAGATTGTTTTCTAGGAGTTGACGAGCCGCTAGAAAGAATGGGTCTGTTACGAAGTTGTCTCGTGGCACAACAGATATAGACGAGTGTGTGTTGATCTGCATATTGCACTTCGTTTAGTTTTGTATTATTTTTCTTCAGGATTGATATAAGTAAATGACGAAATAACTCAATTGTTGGGCTCAGGCAATAATAGCTGATTTCATCCGTCGACTCGGTCTATGGTTTGACTCTTTCGCGTTTCCACTCCTACTTAGAATTAATTAATATTTCATAATTGTGCTAGTCATGTTCCCTCAGTTATGGCTAGTTATGGTTAGTTTTAACTCTAAAATCAAAGTTAATATCTTAATATGTTGCACGGTGATGTGAAAATTTGAAATGATTGCGCCCTTTGTTCCTAGGACTACAGCGCCCTCTTGAAAGCAGTTTGTGAAGTGAAGTGAATCATAAACAAAAACAAGCAGAAACGCAGCCCCCCGCCCCGCCGTAACCACAGTCGCCGGCCGTATGTAACCTTCCTTTTATTTTGAAAAAACATAAACATATGTGTATATTGGGCATTTAATTCATCTTTCTATATGTGTATAAAGCTTATTGATTTTGATTTGTACACATGGCGAATTATATTAAGTACCAACGTGCCTAACCTATACCTATGTGTACTTTTGTCATCTTATCTTATTTCCGGCTTATCGGCTATCTGTCGTGTCACACTACATCCCGAAATATTTGATATTTAAAATCACATCAAATCATAGGAATGAACAATCATCCATTTGTTTACTTTTATAAATCAAATGTGTAGCTGTCATTTTGACAAGCCCATTTTCTTTTTCTT